GACAGCTAGTAGTCTTTACAGATAGCCGTGGCGGGGGGGGGGGGTGCAGCTGCCATGAACATTGAGCGATTACTCTCAGCCTCGCATCGAGTCAGCTTCCCAAGACTATAAGAATGAGGTGGCTCACGGGATGAACAGACGCAGTAGACACGCAGGGACGAGACGTGGCAGCAGGAAGTGTAGAAGCGGAGAAAAACACCGCAGTTAAGCGAGCCAATCAGTGAACTTGGAAATGTGCAGCATTCTCCACGTTGTCTATTTGCGAACCACTGTCCCAGTGCCATATCGGACTTGGAAATCCCGGGCCCCCTTCCCCACGGTCACTTTACGCAAGTCCAGGCTCGTTCCTGCCCTAGTCCTTTGCGGCAGGTGGCGATTAAAGAACGACCGTACGATGAATTGGGAGCAACAACCTGCTCAATAGTTTTCACAATCAACAGACTGAATTGGACCCTCAGAGAAAATTCAAGATTTTCTCCGTGAAATATAAAGAAGTTTCACAAAATCTTGGAAACACAGACATCGAAGTAAAGATTCGATGGGTTATGTAGTACGATATAAGCAATACTGTAGTGTACATACTTTGGTTTTTACTCCAAATGAGTGCCTATTATTATTATGTAGAACGGAGTCCTTATATTTCTTTCTTTTCAAACATATTTCTCTGCAAAGAAAGCAAATGACCTGACGAAAGTCAGAAAATTCTATTGATATTCCAACCCAGAAACAGACAAGATAAAGAAAAGTTTATTCAAGAAAATAGCGAAGAAGTGGAAGAACATAACAAATGGACATAAGTAATTTTCCGGGTCAACTGAAATATGACCACGCGTGAAAACCAATGACGATTGTTAAGAACGAGAACGACAAAATAAATACAACAAAAGAAGAGATCACGAAAAGATGGGAAAAATACACGAAGTTATATGATAAGGACTTACAAATAGAGTAGTGGATAAATATAGATGATTACGAATAAGAACCTTAAATCAAAGAAATGAATTGGGCGACAAAACAACTGAAAAATGGGAAGTCCCCGGCTGTAGATAATATTCCAATCGAATTATTCAAAGATATAGGGGAAGAAATCTTGGCGAAACTAACTCAATTATGCAATGTGATCTAGAAAAGAAAACAGTGACCAACAGATTTGCAACGCACTATAATTATTCCATTACTAAAGAAAGGAGAGAGAGACGAGATTGTGCAAATAACAACACAATTGTATGACTACCGTGTGATTGAGTCAATAGGCAAAAGTCATCCCTCGGAAAAAGAAAAAAAAAAGATTTTAAAAATGTTGATGTAAGCGTATATTTTCTTTAGATTTTCAAAAACAATTTTCATGGAAAGAATCCTCATTTTCTATTTCCTCTGAAAAGTTGTGTAGATTACATTACGTCGCGTAAGCGTTAGCGTAAAGCATATCCTAAGAACATACAGAAAACGATTTCCTTCGTTTTTACACTCGTTTGAATGTTCCATATTATTTATATCATTGTGGCCGATACGTCACGAAAGGGTCACGTCCACCTGGTTTTGAATATTGCAATTTCTGCAGATAACTTTTTCTAGAAAATCCATTTTTTATAAAACAAAGAAAAATGGAATTGAATACACGCTCCAAATGCAAGCAAACATCTAGGAGTTATCCAATTGCATCATTACACTTTATTCATTTACGTAGTCTGTACGAAATGACGCATCAGGAATTATTTATTCCCTTCAAAATTATACAAATGTAACAAAGTTATTATGTATCAAAATAACTTACCAAGTAAGCTGGGATAAGTCATGATTCATACTATCTTTTTTCGATGCTTGTTACGGCGTTGGAGTCAGGATGCAGCTCGTCAGCCCGCTATTTTACCACCTTTTTTTTTTAATTTGTCCGCTTTACACTTCCTGCTCCACGTCCACTTGCCTACTGCGTCTGTTCATTCACAAGCAACCTCATTCTTAGAGTTGGCAGCTGACTTGATTGCGAGTCTGAATGCGCTCGGTGTTCTTGGAAGCTGACCTGCCCCCCGCCTAATCTGCAACTACTAGCTGCTCCAAATGTTATGCCGAGTATCCATAGGCAAAAATTAAAACGTCATACGAGAATAAGGAATACAAATAAGCAATAAGTGAATGTCATTAACGTGGATTTTTTATCTTCACAATATGGCTTTTTATTACCGGGAGTACTGAAACCTGCCCCGCCGGCTTCAAATCCTTCTTTTTTAATTGATGTCACAGTTCGAACAAATACTTCAGTATAGTTTACTACCCGACAATCGATGTTATGCAGCGTGTTGAAGAACGCCCGAACTCTTTTCTTCGTCACATTTATTAATAACGAGATGTATAATTTCCCTAGCGTCACTGTGTATTGTTTGGCCTTTACTACAAACAGAAACCATACCGTTCCACCAAACATCACAAACCAAATCAAAATGAATACGCTATACACTTGTGTTACGAACAAGAAGCAAGCAACATGTCACTCACTCATTGAGTTCATATCTTCTCAGAACAAGAAACATTCTATATTAGATGAAGTGATATTGAACCTCATACAATGTTGTCAAAGCAGATATTACTATTTCCTCGACTGCTCGCGTAGGAGGCAAAGTACAAAACACGTCAATATTCCGAATACTTACACTTTAGTTCTTCGGCGAATTATTTAGTTCAACCTCGTATGTATGAGAGATGACAGTAATATTTAAATATGTGGTTTATTAAAGTTTTGGAAATATATTTACTTGTGCAATGTAATTGTTGTAAACACGCCTAGTAAATGTCGCCATCTATGACGCACGATCAGTAGTCTTATCTCGCGTTTCCCAGAGTCGTGTCCACCGCCAACGCCAACATAGACGTTATTCTTTTGTCACTTTGTATTTAGCTAAAGTTATGTTACTATAAAGATCGGTTTGTTAAACGAGAAATGTGACTTCAATAATACCTGCACGAACACAACATATTGGCGACAAGGATGGGATACGCGAGATAAGACTACTGATCGTGCATTATAGATGGCGACACTTACTAGGCGTGTTTACAACAGTAATTGAATTTCCCTCACTATTCAAGAGACATTATTGTCAAATTGCCGCCTTGCGAAAGATGAGGCGTCAAAAATCGTTGCACTAGTGTGAACACTTGTGAGGTTTTCAACGTCAAAAATAATTTGTTGAGACCGCAACGTGTGAAAGTGGCTTTTAGATTGTACTATCACAGGTACTAAAAACTTCGATTTATAGAGGAGTGTACTACACTGTAGTTCAAGTACAAAATGGCCAATGAATTGAGTGTTTGTAAACATTTCTTTCAATAATATTTTAGATCCTCCAATAATCACTGCGAAAATCACAATTCCAACATTGCTTCTGCATCAGAATCGCTCACAACACCACCAACAAACAAAATCTCTGCCGTCATCTTGAAAGAGGAAAAGGAGATGTTGCCTTCTAATCTCATGACTTGGAAAATGGAAAACAAGAGACGTTGAGAGATCCACCAAAAACATTATTCGAAAACTGCACAATTCTTCAGTGCAATAAGTCGCAGATACAACCACTCATTTTTCATAATTTACTTTTTTCATGTTACAAACTTAAGATGTACACACTTCTAGAATTTCGTTGGTCAGTCACAAAAGATCTCTGCTGTATCTGCCTGTTAGTCTGTACAACAGTGATTGTGACAGTTTTGCATGTCTGTCCTAACAACTCCGATCTCACAGGTCTACTCTTGATTTCAGTGCTTTTGATTGAATGTGAATAGAAATAATAATAATAATAATAATAATAATAATAATAATAATAATAATAATAATAATATCCATCATCATCATCATCATCATCATCAAAAATTACACTGTAGATAACTGCAGCTACATGCATAAAAAGTACCAAGAAATTCAAAATTACAATTTACTTTTAGTTTACGAAGTAAAACTTTCCTCAATGTTACCAGTAATTGTAGCTCGCGTCATGAAAATTCCAGTATCCCCCTCATCGTTTCGCCTCTCTTCCTGAAACGCCGTGGGAGACGCCAGATCTGTGCAAGATCTGCGGTCGCTTCCGATGACATACGAGGAGTTGTGATATCGCCTTCCGCTTACGGTGTTAGGAGAGATGTCACAGCAGGAGCGAATCCAGCCGATTATTTTTCGGGAGGTGGGGGTACATTTTTGCATACATATATTTTTGTAAATAATAAATGTATTTGTTATTATATTGTATATTATTTAGAGATTCACCAGATGAACTCTTTAAAGCAGATAAACGCCGTTTTGAGATCAAAAATCGAGTTGTAGGATAAAAGATATCGTGCGTATATTCCGCTCATTCTTTCCAGTATTTGCCACCGAGTGCCTTGCTTGCCTGTCCCTCAAATCCCGCCTCCTCCGCCGGGGCTGACCTAACGCCGCCGGGCCTGGACGCAGAGAGTATATGGACGTGCCGCCGCGCCGACAGAGGGCCTACAAAGGGCGGGTGTGTGACGCAACTGCGCGGAAGGTAGAGAGGGAGGGGCGAGGTGTTTTCCTAAATTTCACTTTACGACGGTCCTATTCGTCCGATTTGCATGATTGTCACGGCGTTGGATTCAGGAAGCACGTCGCCATAAGCCCACATTTTTTAATTTGTTCTCGAAAGTTTGAGAACTAATTTCAAATTCGCGTTTTTGCTAGAGTTTTGGAAAAAGGGCTTCGTAGCGTAGTTTCTATATTAAAAAGGCGTCAAACGCCGTTTACAGATCGAAAATCGGACCGATGGTTCAGACGTTATCGGTAAAGTAAATTTTACTTATTTTGGTGCTGCCACGTGGTGGCTACAAATTGTACTAGTGGCGGGACATTTAGCTTTAAGCATTTTTGGCAAGATCATGGATCAAGTCCAAGTAAGGGCGACTTTATTAGCCAAAAAAGCCATGAGTGCATGCAAAAAGTTCCTTTATTTACCGCGTGATATCGCTGAAGTTAAGTGTGTCCAGCTACAAAAGTTTCATGATGCAAAAGAATCATGAACGTTATTTGTATTACCACCGCGATTTAAGATATTATTTACATCATTAGATGCCTTTAACACTGGAGTGATGTCTCCATCTTACAGATTTCTTGGTGATCGCTATGCACAATGCAACCACAGAGCCCTCTCTTGTCTATGCAATGCAACGCTTGACGCTTTTCATTTATTGCTAATACGTGGTACGGAAATAAACCACCTCACCATCAATGTGCCGGCGCGCTGTGATCGCAAAAAATCGTGTCGGCTGTGTAGTAGCGGGATTGAGCATTGAAATTGTGAAATGGTAAATTATATCAGTTTCTGTGACTGTTATTTTTGTTGTTAGTATTGGTTGTAAACATACGTGTTGACTGTAAGGCCGTTTCGAGGCTGCTATTTTGATGTGAATAGTTTCTTCAAATTGCCGGCGTGTCTCTGGTAGTGCATGGTGCCATAGCATAGGTTAGGTTCGTCACGTATGTGTATGATGAAATACTTACACAATTTATTATGATGTTGTATGTTCCAGATTCAGTACAAATTTTTAGTTAAACATCGCCAGAATGCATTTCGTTTCCTGTATTCACCCCAAAATTATATTTTGGGTCGACTTCCATCGACCTGCAAGGTCACGAACGATGCTGTAAGTTATTGACTGATGTTATTTACATGCACAGGATTACGTGATTTTTTTTTTAACATCAAGGTGTATCTACTTTTCTTAAAAGTTCAAAATTGTACATAATTAAAATTTTAAAAGGTTATATTTAAGTTATTGTCTAGCTTTCTAAATTGACAGTATTGTTTCGTGTTTTTTTTCTCCTCGTACATTGTCTCTTAAATTATTTACTGCTGCATTTAAATGTTTACATTTTGCAATGTTGTGAGTTTCCTTGTTTAATTTCTACTGTCATTGCCATTTTCTCGAATGGATGTTAGAATAGTTTTCAGTCTTTATGTGCAATAAATATTTGTGCAATGTAAGTTTGTTTTTTAAATGAAAAGAAAAAATCAAGGGAAGAGTATTCATAGTACCTTAGAGTATTCATGATATTTTCATTACCACAGTTAATTATTGGAATTTGGTCTTATCTCTAGGTCCAACAAAGGTTCTACAGCAACCCTGCAAGAAGACCCAACTTCTTCTCCCAGTTCCTGGAAAACATCAAGCAGGAAATGGCCAAGAATAAAGAGATGAAGGAAAGTTTGAAGAAATTCCGAGAAGAGGCTGAAAAATTAGAACATTCAGAAGCTCTGCAGAAAGCAAGGTGCAGGAGACAAATTTTCTCCTTAGGTTTAATAACTGGTAATATTCTGCAGAACATGCAGGTTCAAAGTTTCATGCTTGGTATATGTATAAAAGTGTGTGCGATACCTTAATTCATTTGACATTTGCTTGAAAAGGAGTATTGCAGGTTCTTTTATTTCCCCTCAAGATGTGCAGTGAATTTCTCCCTCCCCCCTTATGTCAATCTGATAACATTTCCTGAATTTTCTAATTTTAAAGAGGGCTGTCAGTTCAAAATTGATGGCTTCAAATACCTTATACTTCAAACTTTATTCAGAATTATCATCATTAACGTGAAAGTAGGTTTTAAAACCTATCTCATGGATTATCGTATTGTTCTTGGCACCTATTGATCTTCCATTTGTGGTCTTCATAAATCTCTGTTCTTGATTTGTGCTTAAAATTTTGGTATTCTGGTGATGTTCATCAAGTGATTTTTCCTTTGATAATGTTCTGTTTCTTCTGCTGCACTTTTGGTTTTCACTTTCTTTCTTATTTTCTTATTTAAAATTTATTTTTATTCCATATTTGCAGAACAAAACATTTGTGTGCAATTTCTTATGTAACATCATGCATACATATAATCGACCAGATAGACTATATAAAAACATATGTATGTTGGATTGGTTGCAAAATCGGAAATCTAAACCTTTGTTAGATGGTTTTCCCTAAATATCTACAGCGGGTTGGAAAAAGGAGATTTTTGAGGTATTCTGTAAGTAATAATTTGGATCGGGCTTCTGCTCATCCTAAACTGGAATTTAGACAATACGGAAAATAAAGTCCAAGAGAGAATAAATATTTAATTTCCCCAGAAATGCCTGGTAAAAAAGGCCACATTTAAGGAGACCAATTTATCATGCTGTGCAACTTTTTTTACCGGCCTTCCACAGATTCTTGAGTGTCATGCACAGTGTCTTGAGATGAATATTGATTTATAGTATTTTAAGTCTTTATTAAAAATTTTGTCTTGTTAGACTGATACAGTTAATAATTAAGAACACAGTTCAATAAAGATTTATCCCTTCAGCCATACAAATTCAGTATGCTTCCCTGGTCATGAAATTTAAATCATGCATAGGAATGTAGATTTGAATTTGATTTTCCAGAGTTTGGCATTGCTTCAAAAACTTTAGAGGCCAGTTTGAAACCAATATCCGCACTCTATTCTTTCATGAAGAAAAGTTGCGTAGCTGTTTCATAATGCTGATTTGTGGCCTTATCTTGTAGGCAAAAGTACCAGTCTGTGGAGTCGGAGGCGTCCAGAAGCTCTGAGGTGATTAAGGAGAAGCTAGACACCATTAAGGGCAAGATGCAAGAGGCTTTGGAGGAGGCTACCAAGTCAGACATTGCGAAGAAAGCAGGTGAGACCAGGACTATTAGTTAGTTCATGCCTTATTTTGCATGGCAAAACTGGCATCAGGCCCACACTTTCATCTGACCGCATACATTTCACTATGCTCCATTCACCATCTAGCGGAGAAAGAAGCTATCACTGGGGGGACAAAACAGGCAATTTGAATTTAGCTCGGAGGCTTCATCAAGGATCTTTTACATGCAGTAAATCTACTAACCTGGGACAGCCGGCTTTACTTCCCCTCTGAAGGAAAGTGTACGAAGGATATTTTTGCCCTGAACAATAGCATGGCTTCAGTCTGGCTTGAACCTGCAAACTTTGGTGCAACAGTCAAATTAGCTAACCGTTATATACCACTGAAGCCTTTATCGACAGCGTATCAATGTCATTCCAGTCTTTGCAATGAGATGAGCACAGATTTGCATCGATGAGGGGGTCAGTAGTGGACCCCAGAATAAATGGGAATATAATTGAAGGAACATTTTATATAGTTATGTGTAACTATATAAACATATATGAACATTTGAACAACATATAGGAACATTTTATGTAGTTATATATAACTAATGTGACATGTTGAGGCTATTGGTTAGCCTGGTGATACCATGTCAAGGGCAGTATTGTCAGCATCACTGCCCTTGATACAGCATCACACGGACAGCCTTCTTATGACTGGACGTGGGAGCCTACAATTGCCAATGTGAAGTGTATTTAACAAGATATTACAATCGTTTTCTGCAAGTTTGCGATAAATCGTGAGCGTGTCGTGATGCAGTGTATGCTCTCGCTGCTGGTTTTAATATGGATATTGTCTTTTGGGCTGATAGTCTGTGGTTCAGTGAAAATTGTTCTTTCGAACATGTAATTTGCAGCTTTAGCATACTCCTCACTGGCAGTGATGAATCTCTTTATTGGCTCCCTGCAATCTTCTGCTGACAAAACATTTAAAAGAACTTGGCCATGCCTGCCGACCCAGAAGACAATCTCTAATAGTAATTTTCAATTAGAGGGAGTAGACTTTAATATTCCAGAGCTTTCATTGAATTCATCAACCATTAAAAAAATTATTTTGAATCCAATTTGAGTAATTGGAATTAAAAAATTGCTGAAATATTACAACTAGTGGTGCTACAGAATGGTACAAACTTTCTTGTGCTTGTTAGTTTTATAATTTCTTTGATTTGGTCTCGCTTTTTGGTCTTGTGCCATTTTCTTTACAGCTGCCACCTATCGCTGCATAAAATACAATTTTTTAAAAGATTTTCTAATGGTAGAACTGAAATGTTACTTTAAGAATGTTGTAGAATAATTTAAGGATATTACATTGAGATAACATAAGGATATTTACATTGAGAACTTAGGAGCCGTTTTTAAGAATATGGTGCTTAAGCTTTACTGTAATTGCAAAATTTGAAGCTCATTTTCACTGAAATCTTTTTAAGTTTTCAATAAATGTCATTTCAAGTACTTCCAATCACAAATGTAATAATGTATACAAATTGCTGGAAATGTGCATATTGTTGGCATAAGATATTTAAAAAAAAATTACATTTGTGTATTTTTTGAAAGAACAAAAGAATGTACAAAACTTAATTTAATGTTATCTTAAACAGTGCAATTAGCACTATCACTACAAACATTTTGAAGAACAAATTTAGACCTTTTTGAGAAAATAGCGTTTGAGCATTTCTGAAAATGTGAACTTGTTTCCATAGAAAACTTTTGAGTTGAATGTTAACAAAGTAAGAAGAGCTAGTAAAAGAAAATAACATTTTTGCAATTTGTGAAAAAACGAAAGAATGGGCTAAGTGACTTTTTTGTCATGTCATTGAGTACATTTAGCACTAAAGTGAAAACAAAAAAATTGTGGACGTTTCAGAAAAATTATTGTTTTTATTATTTTTTAATATTGCGTGAAAACTAATAAAAGTTTCAAAAGAGTGTACATGACCTTAATGAAAGAACTAATTATGGACAATAACATTCATTTGATGGAAAAATCTCTTGGTACAATTTTGTAGTTCTAGGAAGACTCTGAAGAAAATTCAGTTATCAGTGAAAATTAAATCTATGTCATCTTTCAGTGTTTTACTCTGTTCTTACAAGAAATTTAAAGAAAAAACTTGGGCCCGTTTTTGAGAAAATTTTGAAAGTGTCTCTGGAGCTTCATGTAAAGAACCTCCAAATTTTAAAGAATGTTTTTCAAAATTGAGTGGAATCAGATCTGGGTATCAAACTGGGTATACCCATTTTGGGAAAAAAGCATATATATTGCTTAGGCGCTAGTAGTGTCGTTTTGAAAAAAAACGGTTTTCTTGGTATCAGGGGACCCCCAAAACACGTATTTCCGTTGAAATCTCAAAATTGATTTTCCACAGCATTACATAACTTTCTCTATATTACGTGTATTACTGCATATATGCATACTTATATGAGAAAGTAAAAAGACCTCTGTCAATTACATTATACAATTATTTAATTTCCCTTCATATAGTAATTTTTGTTTTCATTTGTAAGTTCATGTTCCAGTTACATTGGTTCTGGAATGGAAATACTGTAATAGACGTCCTTAAAAATTCTCTTGTATTGTAATAAGATTTCACTAAAACAAACATATTTCCAGGGTCCTCACAATTTCGTTTAACTGGTGTTGTAGTTTAATGTATTCTGATAAAAGTATAAAAGAAATGAATTGCAAGCTTAACAGTGATGATTTGCAAGTGGAGCTACAACATGAGTAAGAGATGTAGAGCCCATGATTGCAAATAACTTGATGTAAACATACTGTATCTTTCCCAACAATGTCAGTTAATGCCTAGTAAATAATAATAGCTCTATGAATCTTTGCTTCAGGGCAAATCACAGAGGAACTGGGGAAATCAGCACGAGGGGCGGCGGAGCGAGTGACTGAGACAAGTCAGAAGTTGGGTCAGTCTGGCGCATTTCAGACACTCTCCCAGACAGCCAAGGTGGTGAAGAAGGAGTTGGACACTACGAGCATGGATGCCAAAGTGTACCGACCTCCAGCACGGCTGCGGAAACGAGTGGAAACATTGGAAGAGGACAGTCGTGTCCTGCAACCAAACACTGAAGCAACTGGTGTGGAGCTTCACAAGGACTCGAGGTAGTTGAGAAATTATTTGTGGTTGTAGTGTAACAAGTGTAAAAAATACCCAAAATTGTTTTCTGTATATAGCAAATTACACGCATTAATTAATAATGGTGGTAATTACGAGAACTCATACACTTTCATATGAATAAGGTCTCTTTAAAGTTTGTCAACTATTTCACACTTTCTTGTTTCTAGATTTCTTCATATATTGCAGTTTATACATTTTATTTCTAAACAATCCATACTTTAAAACTTTTTATATTTCAAGAAAATTAATGAGGGATCACTACAAGTTCTTATTTCTTTCGGTATTAAACCTTAAAATTCATCTATACTTAAAAAATTAGAAAATTCTGAGAGGTTTCCTAAAATTACAAGTTTAATTTTTGAAAGAGCAAGTTGCAGTGAAAATTGCAATAGTACCTTTGAATTCACTGAATTAAGTGTATTCTACTCTATACTTATAAAATGATGGAATATAGTTTGCCTAACGGGAATGGTTGCAATTTTTGGTTCTGTCACAGTCTCATGGATTTTACACGTCTAGTGCGTTAGAGGTAGTATATTTTTGTAATCATTTACAATGAAACCCCGCAAATAAAATGTGATGTATTGACTAATACTGTGATTACATAAATTACTTGAAAGGCCCAAAGTCGCTTTGCTATGTCCAATTTCATGGTATTTGGTCTTGGTGATTAACATAAAACATTCTTGAGTCTGTCCAAAGCACTATCAAAATAATTCAGTGGCCTTAGGGGTTTACACGCAACATTATGTGTATATCAATAACATTTTTATTAGAAATTATATTATTATAAATTTTTGAACTACAGACCTTGGTAGGCAATAGAGCAGTGCTCGAAACGTCTTTTTTCTTTCACAAATTCTACTAACCAAACCCAATTTATTGCCATTGTTGTACTTGCACCTCAATTGCTGTATAGTTGGCAAACAACTTACTAAATCTTACAATTGTTAGGACGGCAACAGATTTCAATAAATGAAGTATGCATACTGCACAGACATAAGTTTAACTCCACTCAAAAGTTTAAAGGAAACAATTTGGATCTGTATTTGAGAAAAACTTTTTAGATATTTGGGGAATATTGTCATTGATTTGCCTGAAAACTTCTAAAATTGTGAAATACCTACATGAGATAGTTTAATATTCTAATATTGAAGAAAAGACCGATTCAGAAAGAAATCGTGAGTTCTGATGGTAAAGGTAAGACAAGTGTAAAAAAAGTTTAAGTTGTGAATTATTAAGAATTCATAAGATTTTATGAAAATCAGACCAATTTAGTGAACTACTAGGCACTGGGCTCTCTTTGAATAATAAGTGAAAAGAAAAAAATTATGGCTTTTGACAATACTTTAAAAATGTCCCATTGGCTTAAGAAGTATCCCCTGAAATCCCCAAACCCTCCAAATATATGCATTTCAAATTTGCCAAATCTCAACATAGTTTTGTGCAGTATTACAGACATTTTCTATACTGTTTTGGAGACAGTAAAACCTTTGGTTGAAACAATAAATACAATTATTTACGAGGGTAACCAATAGATAATTCATAAAATACAATTAGATAAAACAAAATTATATATGCATTAAATTTAGTAAATCACCTACTATGTTTGTGTGATTATTCCAATAATAATTGAGGAGCTCCGTAGAATATAGGTTTATCTCACATTGACCTAGTTCTGAGATATTGATGGTTTTATTAGAACTTTCATAATATAACATGGTACCCTTTTAAACACAGTATACTTGCATACAAGTACATATACATACATATACATATATATATATATATATATATATATTTTAAATCTAAGATTGTTATGTGAGTTATGATCGTGGAGGATATAAATTCTTAATTTTACATGTGGGATGATGTTTAATATACATTCCTCTGCTTATTTGCAGATTCTACCAAAGTTGGCAGAACTTTAAGGAAAACAATCCGTATGTTAATAAAGTCTTAGACTGGAAGACACAATATGATGAGAGCGATAACCCTGTTATCCGAGCTTCAAGGATGCTTACAGACAAAGTGTCAGACATCATGGGAGGCCTGTTCCAGAAAACTGAGCTTTCTGAAACAATGACAGAACTGTGTTCATTGGACCCAAGCTTCGACAAAGTTCAGTTCCTCAGGCAGTGTGAGACTGACATCATCCCCAACATTTTGGAAGCCATTGTGCGTGGGGACTTGGAAATCTTGCGAGATTGGTGCCACGATGCACCATACAACATCTTGTCAACACCCTTACGTCAAGCCATTTCCTTGGGGTACAAGTTTGATTCGAAAGTAATCGACATCGACAATGTTGATTTAGCAATGGGAAAAGTAATGGAACAGGGACCTGTTCTTATTATTAGTTTTACTTCTCAGCAAATCCTGTGTTTGAGAGACAAGAATGAAAATGTTGTGGAAGGTGATCCAGAAAAGATTTTGCGTGTTAATTATGTTTGGGTACTCTGCAGAGACAGGAGTGAAATGAATCCAAGAGCCGCATGGAGACTTTTAGATTTGTCAGCGACGAGTACAGAACAGTTTGTGTGAGGACAGTGTTACTTAGGAAATGGTTAGTGGAACTAGAACATCCAGAATGTTCTTCCACTCTGTGATGTAAATATCTTGTAAGAAGTTGTTTCTTTTTAGGAAAAGACTAGCACAGTTTTTTGTATGTGATTATCATTGTTTCTGTATTGTATATTTCTTTCCAATTATTTAAATATACCTATTGTTGGAAAACAAGGTTCATAATTCTTTGAGCCAGACTGTTTCTGAAGTAGGAAGACTGTATACTCAGTGCATTGTTTTAAATCATAAGATGCATATTTAAATACTGAACTGGTCATGAATACTGTATTTGCTTGTGTATAAGCCACACTTCTTTTTTAAAACTTAACTATGAAATGGGGATGTGGTTTTTACCCAAGATTTTTCTAAAAAAATTTTCTTAAAGAAAGAATATCAAATTTGACATCAAAAGGAAACGGTAATTTATTTACACATACATATTTACAAGTCAAAATAATCACTTATGTCTCCATTTTATCTCTGTGTTGCCACTTTCATTACCACTGGCAGTTTCCACATGCTATAAACAGTCGACCTTGCTCCCATCCATTGTATTTAATATTCCATGCGCTTTAAAATGTTTTTTTTAGTCAGGACCCCTGGACACCCAAACATCCAAAATCTATCAACACATGTTGCTTAACTTGGCCTTCTTGAGACGACCAGTGAGTGAGGGCTTCGGTCCTGTGTGCCCCAGTGCAATAGGAACGTCACACCTTAAAAGGTGTGTGTATGTGTGTGTTTTCTCTCCAAATCTGGCATCCCAGTCATGCTCCCTAATATGAATTCAAGGTCACCATTGTTGACTTTTAGTTTTTATTTCAAACATTCCGTAGTGTGATCCCTGAAGCTCTCCAAAACGAGCATGAGGTGTTGTCTTAATAATGAATTGAATTGAATTAATGCCTTACTTTACGTGGCAAGACTCAGGCCATTAGGCCTGCTCTTCAGTCTGACCACGCAAATTTCGCTACGCTCCTTTCATCAACTTGCGGAGAAAGGAGGTATATCTTGGGCGAGAAACAGGCGATTTGAATTTAGCTGAGAGGCGTCATTTAAGCTTGAGGATCTTTTACATGCAAGTAAATCTACGAACATGGGACAGCCGGCTTTACTTCCCCTTCGAAGGAAGGCGTATGAAGGATTTTTTCGCCCTTAAAAATCCACGGCTTCGTTCGGGTTTGAACCCGCCAACTTTGGTACAACAGTCCAGTACGCTAACCGTTTCACCATCACCGCCATGAATGCTCCAGGCTGCTGCAATATCACTTACCGCTTCTTGTCTAGGACGAGTTTTTCAATAATCCATCCGCTTTTGTGGACATTTACCACTATTCTGGGCATTGTTTTTCTTCATGGTGGAAATACATGGATGAGTTCTCCATCGCACTGATTTTTGCTTGTTCTGCGCAATACCAGTTTGAGTCACGAACCACAGCACTGGCACTTCATTTGAAAAGCCAGACCGGACGCAGGCCTCCATACTGCATGGAGAGCGAGAAGTATTGAGAAAGATTTTTAAAGTAGTACTAAGTGACAATTTTGAATGGTAACAACCAAAAATAACACCAGATGTACAAGATGTAATATTTGAAAGAAATGCTTCCTAAACCTAATTCAGTGTCTTGTAACAAGGTGATAATTTTGGTATCTCGCTGCATTTAAAATTCCGGCTAATATTGTGATGCAAACTGGTGTCTGAAGCTCATTGGCTGAAGTCAGACACGATGCGCAACAGCCCCTCATGTTTTTTTTCTTTGAAAACAAAATGCGTTTCTCTCTTGCTATTGCCAATGTAATGGTGCAGCGTTGTTTTTCTGCTCTCGGTGTTTAATCGAGACCCTCTTCTTGCCCTCAGGATGCACTGTTGAAGTATCTGGCATATCAAAATACAGGGGCAAATGATTGGCATTTCCAATCTAGGTCAGAATGAAACTGCTGCTTCCGCATTTTTATTACCAGAGCACAGAAGTGCAGGCAAGAAGAGAATTTTACCAAAAATAGATATGCAAAAAGGCATTTACTTTTACTAAAATAGGTATGGAAAAAAAGGCATTTATTCTAACTAAAGTAGGCGGTGAAACAGAGGAAACATTGAAAATTCATCATTTAAAAGTAATTATTGTAAAGAAATTTATAATTATAATGATTCACATTTTTTTTTTAATTCTAAGATTTATATTAGCACTCACGTAGAAGAAAATATACTTTTCTTTATAAGCTTGATTGCTCATGACCATCCGATATGACAATGATTCTGATCTCTATGAAGTGCAATTGTGGACTCCCTTTTGAGCCTTGAAATGGTATCACTGAAAACGGAATTAAAGATTTCGTTCTTCGCTCTTGTGTAATCGCCAGAAAGGAAGAGAGAACAAGAAGGAACTGAGAAGGATATATTATGTACAGACAGCTCCCTCCTCAAAAGGGATGAGAGGCCATACACAAACTGAGGATGGGATTTCTCATGAGCGAACGAGTCAGTCAGCATCAATGACAAATATCAAAAATCTTCACTGGTATGATTTTCCTTTCCCTTTTAGATTTTTAACACAATCTGACACTAAAGCCTTCAAAGTCCACTGAAAGACAATACATGACCGTGCGTTCACATTGTCCTAGCTTGCAAGTATGATGCCAGCTAGAGATCGGTGGAGGGGGAAGGGGGGCGGGGGAAATAATGATGAAAAAGACAAATTGAAAATCTACTAAAACAACTCCAGAAGTAAAATTAAGTGATTCCTATTGATTAAAGTAATAAAATCAAAACAATAATAAAAAGGCATTTTGCAAAACTTCCGGCTCGATTTATTACATATCTTTGAAATGTTAAAATTTTATCCTCATAAGTTTGAAGCAGTCTTAGTGCAATAGCTCTACAACCCTAGAGATAGTCTGTTTCTAGCTATGAACTGCTGTACCCATCCATAGATGGCTTTAAATTGGCTACCATTGATGTTGTATTGCCTGACGATTTCGCTGCTTGTGAATTGCAGCATCTCCCGACACTTTCATCCTTTATCTACTATCTCCCATTCTTTTGGCGAACTTAATTACTCTAAGTTTAGAATTTGCATTTGTACACCATGTTCTGTAGCCCAAATGGTAAAGGCTGAGACATGCAAACAAAAATATTTTCTGAGCTTTCTACCATGATAAAATACGCTGTGATTTACAATATGACATAAGTAATAAGGATTCTCACTCTATGGATGTGCAAAAGCAACCAATCAAATTTGGCCCTCTATGGATGTGCAAAAGCAGCCCTTCAAAATTTCACTTTGCCGGACTGGATGGCTGATATCGCTAAGGCAGTAGTGCCGTAGCGATTTCGGACTGAAGGATCGTAGGTTTGAGTCCCGCCTTGGGCATTGTTGTATTTTGTTCGTCCTTTCACCCGCTATCATCATCATGCCGTGTTATCCTCGCAGTTATCATACCATTCCAAGCAATAGTGGTCGCTAATGATCTAGAAGTTGATGCAACCAAAAATTTAAATCACTTTAATTACTTATCAGGTTTTTGTAAAAATAAATAATTAAAGTAAAAATTAAAACATTAACCATGCAGTATCAAAATATTCAGTGTGACCTACACACAAGACTTTTTTTTCTCTCAAATTATTATGATGATTGTTGGTGCTGCCTATAAATGACCAAATACTGTACATCTATTGTCTTTCACATGTGTGTTTTGTGCCTTCCAGTAGGTATGACATTGTGCTAATCCCATAAACAAAAAAGAACACATCAGTTTTTTACACAGGCATTTTAAAATGGGTCATAAATCAAAATTGTCAGCATTCATATTCATAAAAAACGAATATACAAAAAACAACATAAAATGAACGATTCATAGACAATGAAAAATATTTCTTACAAAGATACAAAAGCATTTGTGCTTAAAAATACAGTTTGAGTACCGTTCATAATAAAGTTGTATTAGAATAAGTTATTTGACAATTTGTTACAGGGAGGGGGGGGGGAACACTGTTTATTCTGTTAAGTTAGAAATTATCTTGTAACTCTTATTTTCATTCCAAAGGATAGTCACATAATGGCATGCAACTACTACATTCCTATGTAGCAGAAATTTCAGTTCTGTTTTTTTACAAATGAAGTTGGGACCAAATATGTTCTAAAATATAAATGTTTTAAAGAAGATATGTGAAAGTTGACAATTTTGTTGTACAAATAAATGTTTTAACAGACGAAAAAAATTGAGGTATGCCATTATGAATAAATAGAAGAGACTCATATTAACCAAACAATCTCATCTGCTTGGCTAAGAAATTTTTGTCTAGGATGTCAGCTGAGACAGTTCTATTTAAAATGTTTTTTGAATTCAAATTGTATTAATGTTCATAGTATTAGGTCGGATGCCTGATATTTTCATTGCAATGTTAGTACATTTTTCAATGAGTCGAAAATGTTGATCGTTGCAAAAGGGAAAATGTGTTTTTGAAACAATTTTGTAATTTTCATGTTCTTCAGAACACTAAAATAGGGAAGAGGAACTAGTTTTCATGTAAATAACAACAATCACTTAACTAATTTATATGGAAATTTTATACTGGGGAAAAAAATTAAATACATACTAACAAACGAAAATTTATGCGCATAGCAAATAATATTGTCAGACTATCAAATTCAAAGTCATTCTTCATTTAAATGATGTACCGAAGCCTTTCAGTGACTGACTGTCTTGTAGACTTTTTTTCCACTACCCTTACTTTCCTCATTTTTTCTCTCAAAACTTACTATTCAGTTTTTTTACAAAATTCAAAATATTATTTTAATTATTACTTTTTTGTGTACATACCTATATACTGAGCATTGTACATAGAATAGAGAAAGATATCTAATGTTGTGGAAAATCAATTTCAAAATTTCAACAGAAATGCACATTTTGAGGTCCCTTTATACCACGAAAGTTTTTTTTTTTTTTTTTTTTTTCAAAATGTTTGTGTGTCATCTGTCAACAACACTAGCGTGTAAACTATTCGTAGGATTTTTTCCCAAATGAATACTCTCCATGTCAACCTGACTTCACTTGAAGCTCTGCAATTGTGGAAAACGTTCATTAATTTTTGAGAGTACTTTACGTAATGCCCCTGCGACATTTTCAAACTTTTCTGAAAACTTCTACAAATTTTTTGTTTAAATTTCTTGTAAGAATAAAGTGAAACACACTTATAAATGTGGCATAGATCTATAGGTCCAATTAGACTGTTAACTCTCTATTTTCAAAAATGGCAAAAGTTTGAAAATGATTTGGCATGTTCCTACAATTACAAAATTGGAGATTTTTGCTTCAAATTAAATTTGTTCATCTTCATTAGTTCTTTCATTAACATTATGTATATTTTTTGAAACTTTTAATAGGTTTTGTGCAATATTGCCTGAAATATGTGCAATTATAAAAAATGAGAAGGGCATGGGCAACACCTTGAGAAGTGTTTCTCTCCTGCGCACATGCACCATAGATGTTGCAGCAGTAGTATTATGCCCCTAACAATGTCTATGTTGGCAAATTATGTTGTATATTATATACAATTTTAATCCAAGTTCAAGCTGGAAGGTTTGGTTTCTATAGTTGGTATTTTAAAAACTTTGAAACAACTAATTTTTGAAAATTGCTGCGTTTGTTACTGGCTTCAATTTTTATTAGAATAAATAAAATGCTTTTCATGAAGTTACAGGAAACCCCATATATTGTATGGGTATTCCAATGCCAAGTTTGACCTAGTACCAATAAATACATTTCAGGAAAAAATAGTGTTTGTTGGATTTGTCTGCTGGCCTCCTTATTTATTTAATTGTAATTCTGTTATGTGCATAACAACATTCCACACTTTTTTGATGTTGAAATGGAGTAATTGTCTTTGAACTTAGTCATTCGTTGGTCAAGTTAAGTTATATGTCATTGTCTTTCATTCATATTGGCCGGCAGCGCAGCACCATTAGTACCCGAAGTCTATCTGATTTCAACCTTCTCATAAGTCCATACCATTTTAGTTGTTTCATTTCGATCGTCTCATTCAAGGTTGTTTGCACTTTCATTTTATTTCTTATTTCATCATTTCTTATTTTATCTAACAGAGAAAGTTTACAACATCTTCGCCAGAACATCATTTCTGTTGATTGAAATTTGTCTTTCAAATTGTTTGATAGTGTCCAGACTTCTGCCCCATAGAGTGTGGTACTCTCTATGAAAGAGGTATATATGCGTTTCTTTGTCTTCATTGAAATAATTGAGTTCCATAGCACTGGATTCCACTGACTTGTGGCTATTTTTCCTCTTATATTTTTATTTTTCACATCCTGTTCGTCTCTACCATCTGCTGTTAGTGTCACTCCCAAATACTTACATTGTGTTTTACCTTTAATTATTCCTATAATAGTCTCTAAATCATGGGGCATACCTCCCATCACCATATATTGTTTTTTGTAAATTTATTTCCATACCACATTTTCCATACTCTTCTACTAATTTTCTGAACATATAAGTTACATCATCTTCATCTTCAGCCATTATCACCTGGTCGTCTGCAAATAGTAGACTAAACAATGTTTCATCACCTATTTTCACTATTTTTTCCTTTTTCTTTTTTTTCTTTTCTATACACGATAAAATACTGGTGCAAATATAGGGAATTTCTTGTTATATTTTTTTTTAAATCCAGGCAGAAAAAATTCAACAAGATATACAATGAACTTCACAAAGATGAATATTTACCATAATTATTATTCCCGCAAAGTAATGTAGATTTTATTGTTTGTACAAAAATATATATTTTCATTCCAAGCAAGCCTCTATTGAATTTTATCAAGACAGGTTAATGCAGGAAATTAAATATTGCTAATTTTAAATGCATATTAAAGTGTGTATTTGAAAATTTTTAAGTCATAAATGCAAATTTTTTAAAGTATATTTCAAGATTGTTTAGGGCATAAAATTCCTCTCTCTAGTGATGGCATTTAACTACATATTTGGAAAATACGTTTTGAATTGCAAATATGTAGTTTTTGATTCTTGGCTGCTCAAAAGAATTCGTGCCAACTTAGAAGCAATCACCTCATTGTTTCTTAAACTTTTCTGGTAGAAATAAACACACATACTCTCAGAATAAAGGAAGAACATACACTAGAATTGTGTTATTTCACAATCTTATTTTGAAGAATAGATTTAATTAGGGGAAATAATTCACTCTAATAATTGCTGGGAGTTGAGATTGAAAATATTTTGAATTTTTGCAATATCAAAGATGTAGATGTAAATCATTCCTAAGCAACATAAGGAATTATCTAGCCTTGATCTGCTTGAAAAATAAAAAAATAAAGGAGAAAAAGCAGTAATATAACTGCCACACTTTCATTCAACTAGATAAAAAACTACTCATATTTTGGGAAAGTTTCAGATCACATTAAATCAAGACATAATTTTGAAGATATTTTATTATTTAAAAATGTCTGTCTTCAACAATAATGTGGAAGGAAGGGGTAAAAAAAAATGTTAGAACTTTCAGAATTTATGAAATTTCAGAGGTTCAATGAAAATAGAGCATGGGAACCTTTTATAAGTTCCTTGTCCCAGAGACTTCATGTACAATACTATTCCCCAAAACTGTAAGACCAGAATCAAATTCGCAGACCCTCGGGTACAGCCGGATCGATCGGGGTTCTGGAATATCTATTTTAGATCAATTACTGTGAAACAGGCTGGAAGGTCTTGGATATTTACTGACGGACGGATATTTTGCAACATAATTACGGTATCAGGGACCCCCTCCCCTCCAAAATGTGTTTTTACATCTAATTCTCGTCGTCGTGTCTATACAACATTTTTTTCTTTTCTTTTTTTTTCTTTTTGCGCTGCAAATCGTGGATGAAATAAACGGCTGACTTTCTCCGGCGCACCTACTTTTGTTCTTTCTGCGCACAGCACGGGCACTTCCTTTAAAAGCCAGACCTAGTGTTGAGAAATTGGTACAAAGTGACAATTGTCATTGTAACCTACGAAAAATTATACGATAAAGGTGTAAAGGCTACAAAATTTAAAAGAAATGCTTTATAAATCTGTTTCAATTCCATTTAATGAGGTGATAATTTTGGTATCTGGCTGCATTTAAAATTTCCGCTAATATTGTGACGCAAACTGGAGCCCTGCTGGAGCCTGACTGCTCATTGACAGCGGTATGTCTGGTAGTTCGTACAAAGAAGTGCAAAAGCAGAGCGCGCTACTGTACTTGCTGCCGCTTGTTCCCATGGACGTTCTAATAGACAAACCTGAAATCAACTGTGTGGGTGCTCTGTCTGTAGGCCAGCTGTGGCGCTGTGAACGCGGTCGTATTTGGTAACAAAAAGTATATGTTTCGTTGTTCATCGCGGCGAAGTTAGTATTGAATTTGTTGGTTTACGTTGCTGTGCATTCCAGATATTTCTCAAATTGCAAACTCGCTTTGAGACATCTCAAGTGGTATTCATCCGTAATCTATGGCGGGTGAAGTGGTTGTTGATGCGTTACCCTACATTGATCAAGGTTACGATGAACCCGGTGTTCGCGAAGCCGCATTGGCTATGGTCGACGAAGAAACTCGGAGGTAAAATAAATATTAAAAGCGCACGTTTTATTGAGCTCCGGCAATCCCAACTCATTTCCTTTGCCATTCATAATGGAACCGCAACAAGCGTTATTGATACTTGACATTTTCGCTCCCGTGCATTAGACACCATTGGCATCGAAATTGGAGCTATAAATTAATTTATACTATTATTCTTTATTAATACCGCTCTCACAAAAAGAAAACTTAAACTCCTCTCGCACAGTTATACAAGTGCTCAAGACAATATGCTCGGAATGTGTCTTTATATATATATATATATATATATATATATATATATATATATATATATATATATATATATATATATATATATAATAGGGAATAAATTCAGATAATTTTTCTAAATAATTATTTAAAAATGTGAATGTTTTTTCTCAATGTATTGCAGGTACCGCCCAACTAAGAACTACTTGGAGATCCTGCCTCCACTCAACTTATCGTCATTTGAAACCGAGATCATGCGAAGCGAGTTTGAGCGAATGACTCAACGACAACCCATGGATGTACTCAGCATGAAACGTTATGAGCTGCCCCCGCCACCAGCAGGCAAAATGACTGATGTTGCTGCATGGAACGAGTGTGTGGAAAATTCTCTTGCCCAACTAGAACATCAAGGTACGGAATTGTATTGATGTGATTTCAGAAATACAGCAGTGCATAGAAAAGGCATCTGTAATATGTTCTAAAATATTATTTAAGGATTTTGTGAAGTATGTTTGTGACTAAATAATGTTGAGGCTGACTTGTGGGTAGGATGATTTTTTTTTTTTTTTCTTTTTTTTTTCTAAGAAGTTTGCAGTTTTACAAGGGTAGTTAATTCAAGAGACAAATTAATGTAGAGACAAAACTCATTGTACAATGACAATGAAACTTTCACTACTTTTGAACAGTCTTCAACAACATTTAGACATTTGTTACACCATTTTGTGAGCTTTCGTATTAAAGAAGATAAGTTTTTACATTACTGTTTGAACAATCTGTGAAGTGTTTTCTTTTTGACCTATTCATTGTTGTCAAACTTGCTTTGTTATAAATTTTTGAGAGGGCGGAATACATGTAAATCGATCGAAGGCAGGGTCTGGGTCATAAGGAGGATTTGGCCATAATTTCTTACCCAACTTCCCTAGTGTTTCTCCCGTTCTGAGCTGTATGGGAGTGCTCATTGTCATGCAAGAGAATAACATGTTGACAGAATGAATGATTGAATGCACACTTTCGGCTCTAATATCAAACAGAAAGATTATACAAACTAGCAATTTAGAAAATTTTTTGCTTATCTTTGCCAATGTCATTATTGATGTGATTTTTGTAGAGCTATAGTTGTTACTTCTGCTACGTCTTCTAGACTGATGGATATCAATGTCGCATCAGTTGCACTGCCTCAGAACTACATTGTACACTTATACATATTACTGTGGTTCAGATATTTTTCACCATATTGTTTCAATATTCTTCAGTACATTTCTGCCAGTTTCACACTATTCACTCAGTTTCACACCTTTCTGTCAATTTCATACCAAAAATCGGTTAAAGTACGCTTCAAGGTACACCCTTAGAGAAGCGCAGGGCGATTAGTAGGGGGGGATGGGGAGGAGGGGTCTCCTTGAGCCCTCCCTCAAATTATGCTAAGCGCTCTGACAGAAATGAATGAAACTTACTGATATGGGATTTTTATGGCAGTTTGACCTACGGTGTTATATTAAAATATGTCATTACTAATATCTGAATCGTACTCGATTTGCTTCCCGCAAACCATGACCACTTATGCACATGAGGAGTGGCCCCTTTCTTACTACACTTCCACTTGAAACTATCACAGTCTTTCGCTACCTCATAGGACACTTACACACAACACACTTAAATCCTACAGCAATCAAATCACATTCTTGCACCCATTCAATGACAGCCAAACACCTTCGGTGCAACATGTTAAAAAAAAGCCACTTTTATTCTCACTGGCCTAGCACACACTCAACACTCAAAAACACCAATCACAAGAAGAATGCAAGAAACTTAATTGTATGACAGCAACGTATCTAACCACTTTGACAGCTATCTGACACAAAAAATCTCTTAGACAAAAACACGATTAACGTGCCACCACACACCATTTCGTAATGATGTCTCCACCAGATTCACAAAGTACATGCAAAAATCATTGAATCTTATTATCTTTTTATTTACTATTTCCACAAATGATTTTGCTTTGTTCTAAATAAAGATTTTTGACATTTTTCACAAAAAGTTTTAGAAATACTCTTTTTCATTTTGCAAGATTCACATTATTTTTCATTCCCCTTCAGACGTTTCTTGCACATCTTTCTCTTTGGGAAGAAATTGCGACAGTCGATCCTAGATAAGACAAATGATAACATTTTCTAAATAGACACGGTTGAAAATGCCATATACTCTTATGAAGCCCCTAATGCACTGGTAGTAGTATTTGCAGCATATCTGATAGATATTACGCAGTGCAGTGATCAAATTTCATCAGGCTCATGGGATATGATTCAGCAAAAGAACAAAAATAGAAGGCTAGGTGTTCTCAGACAAGAATAGTCAAGAAATACATGAAATATCAATGACTAACGCATCGCAATAATTCAGGACCGTAAAATTGGCGTGAGTTGGATCTCACAAAGCTATTGCGGCCACTCCCAGGTTAAAAGAGGGAAGTAAAATTGTTTGTTTAAAGTTTTCAGGTTTTATTTGGTTTCTCTAGAAACATTTTTGTATTTGATTTTTGATGTGATAAATTGCAGGAAGTGGTGATGTATTGAAGTGTTTTGCTTGTGTGTTTCTGTGCAGCAACGCGCATCTGCAACTTGGAACTGATGGTGGAGTTTGGGTGTGAGGCGTGGAAGAGCTACTTGGAGGTGCTGGTGCAACTTGTGACACAGGCGCAAAAACACTTGCAGCAGCTACGCAAACTGATTCAGGAGACCAACTGGCAGCGCAAGAACATGCAGACTCAAGGTGGAGATAAGCTACGACAGCTTGAGGCCTCCTGGGTACAACTTGTCTCCAAGAACTATGAAATAGAGCAGGCATGTGCACAGCTTGAGAAGGAGATAGCAAAGTACAAACGGCCTGATGAAGTGGCCACGCCAGTATCATGAAAAGATTGAGCCTTTAAGGGGCTTGGAGGCTGAAGACATTGTCAGAAGGTTGTTGGGGAGCATTGATTGCTTTGCGCCATGTATTAATGTCAACCAATTGTTTTGACAGGAGTGAAACTGTATATAATTTGGCACTGAAAGTGTTATGATGAATTTGAAATTATTTGGGTGGTATTCTTGTATTATGGAATGTGACTTCAGTTTTCTTGAAACTACAAAAGTATTGTTTGCTCCCTGTTAAGCAAAGATGTTCACCCAAATCCCATGCTTTATCATTAGTGATAAAGTTCTGTGCACCAAGAAAGATAATGTGTGAATTTAAGCTTAGAAAACTTTCTTTGAAGGCTTTCATCAGGTATACATTTCATTGTGCAAAACTTTTTGAGTGAACTGTTTTGAGATCAGGATATGGTATGGATTAGAACTAATTTGTATCACCCATAAAGTTTATATCACACTTTGGTAAATTCTTGTGGAATGATGTAATGAAAGAAACTACTAGAATGTTCCATTAATGTGTGGAGAAAGATATGTGATTCGGTACATTGGCTGCATTTATCAAGAGTCCAATTATTTATTTTGAAATCAAGTCATTGTTTTATTGTTGAATGTTGTATGAATGCCATTGTTTCTGTAAAAAGTTATTTTATTGTGAAGTTTTTTTAAAATAGAATTTGTCTTAATATTGAAGAAAAATGCAGATAATTTTCAATAGGAAAGTCATTTCATTCTTTTGTGATAATGGATCAGAATAAATTTTAAATTTTTTAGTGAAGTATGAAGTGCTTTTTTCCCCTCAAACATGGTACTTGGAGTTATTAAAGGCAGGATTTAGAATAAATGCATTGGTAATTTGTAGAACATTGAACATTACATCCTGCCATGCAGTGTTCACAATGTTTAGGCATTCTGCACTTATGAGCTGACAGTCTGCCCACAAGAGAGCCAAAAGTGCAAGTAGTAGGGGGTAGGAAGCTTTGCTGGGAGGGGAGAAGACTGACATAGCATGACACGACACATAGATTAAATGTCAGGGCACCTAATGCTGTAGAATCATTTTCTCACTCATGGGTGACAACCATCACAAATCGGTGATGTTCCATTTTTTAAGCTTCACAATTCTGTTTACATTCTTCTGTACACTGCTGCTTATGTATGTAATTTTTTGCTCTCTATGTGCATTGTATGTGTTTTTTTAGTTGATGTTTATTCCGACTCTTAAGCAACATATTAAAGCAGTGGCCATTTTAAAAAATTTATTATTTCATTAAACTAATAAAAATTTTGCAATTTAATAAGTGATTATTCACCTTGAATGTTATAATCACCATATAATAGCAAAATGAAGAAAATTAGGAGAGTAAGCTCTCACATCAATATTGGCATAAAAATGGTGTATCAGCAATTTCAAGAAGGGTAATGCCTAGAAGCATATATATTTGTGACCATTGTCCTACATTATGAATCTGATGATACCAAAGAGCAAACCTCTCTGATATTTTAGGGGCTATCATGAGATTAGAATGGGTCTTGTTAAATAGAATGCAAAGGGCTTAATATTTTTATACCATGTCATAAAAGATGAATAAATAATTTCGGTTGATTTGATATTAGAAATATATAATGAACTCTTCTCGGAAATTAGAGCAGAAAATAATAATAATTTTTTTGAAGAAAAATATGTTTTAGCTTTGAGAGTACCATCTTATTCTATTAAATATAGTCAATGAAAAAATAGTTCATCACACAATAACAATTCAGCATCATAATTTTGTATTTAGCAAAACACTATATTTGTGATTGTACCATAGCAAAGCTAATTACATTATCAGCCCTAATAGCAATATACAAGAAAGACACAGGATTATATGACCACATCAACAATTACATTTGGTATCCAAATCAAATATGTCTGGCTTTGCAAATGCTGGTTACTAAAACATTTGTATGTGTCTTGATCCCCTCTGTCTTTCTTCATAGCTCAAAAGTTTTTGTGCAAAATTTGGGAGCAATTGTTGTAGTGAATAAGTTTTTGTGGAACATTAAGTACACATTATTACATACTTCTCTTGTTTTTGCATGTCAAAGTGAATTAGAAATTTCAATGTAGGGCACTGATTATGGTACACCTTCAGTGAAAGAGGATTTAATCATTGTAGGTGTTCAAAGAGATAGTGCACTACCTAGGGAGCCTATTGCTACCTAGAGATTGTGTAGCAATTGTACTGCAAAATATCTTTATTGAAATTGAAAGCAAATACATCTTGGAGAAAAGAGAACATTGAACTTGTGTATGTCTGCGAACAAAACTAGGGCCAACATTAAACTTGGGATTTTCCCCGAAAAGAATATTTCCTGAGGAATCTGGCCCCTCAATTAGCCTTGCAGGAAATGAATCAATCTTTTAATCTTGAGGGAGAAATTACTTAGCCTGTAGGGCCCTTTCAAATTTTTTTAGAACACTGCTTAATCATTTTTCTTTTTCATACATGCAGTATTGAGAAAGTATTTTATTGTTACAGGAAAATGTACAGAGTTTTTCATACATAAACACATTTTCTATTTTAACTTTTTCAAACTCCTTTAAGTGGTCTTTTCCTGTTAGTGCTGCATTAGTGTGTCACGAGTATAAGAATTCAGAATGTTATGTTTCTGAATGGGCGTATGTAATTTTCATTTAATCAGGTCCATGTAGAGTAATGGATATCTGAGACAACTAATGGGATAAACAATATTTTCTAGATCATATATGGGTACAAAATCTTTCCAATTTCGTATTGTAATCTTTTTTTATGCATTTTGTTAGATCATTTTCCATTATGTTAATTGTGGATATAGGAGGAAATACTTTTCAAGGGATCTGGGGGGAAGGTATCTGTGGTATTTTGCATACTGTGTCTAAAATGTGCAAGGCATTTATGTTCATAAATGTAGGATGTTATTGGTGTTTAACCCTCTAAGAAAATTGTCAGAAAAGGATAGAAAAAATATAACGGTATACAATATCAATACGATAATATCTACAATGATGATATTGCCTTAATTATCAGAGGCAAGTTCAGGACTGACTGAGAAAGATGTACCAGAATGGGCTGTTCTATGATGACATTGAATTAAAAACATCAGTTGAATTAGTGGAGCCACAATGGCAGAAACTTTCTTGTATTATTTGCAAGTTTTATAATGTTCAAAAATTTAGATAGTTCTGCAAAAATAAGACGTACTAAATTTTTGCTGTATCCTTTGTTTTATGCAAGGGAAAAAATTCAGAGCACTATTTGAGATTTTTAAAAATTAATTTCCTGTATGTTTAGCAAAAACTACTTGGTTTGTCAAAAAGTTGTATATGATCTTATTTAAAATTTATTATTTTAGAAGAAAATACATTAAGGAGAAAGATACCTTTCATTAATACTGTTTCCTATTGTTAATTTTTTGCAATTTTCAAAAATACTGATTTCACTGTAAGCGGTACCTGCTGCATTTTTATAAGCTGTACTTATTTGATAAAATATTGAGCCTTTTTAAAAATTGTCTAATAAAGTACTCCCAAAAATCGAACTATCCATTTGAATTTTGCAGGAGCTTACGTTCAATAAGATTAATTGGGGAATATCAATTTTGGCAAAAACTGCTTGAATCTTAAGAAAATTGCTAACATTGATGGATGGTCATCAGGGTCTCACAATTCAAGATTGGAAGCTTTTGAGCTGAAACTTGTTAAATCTGGCAGAAGTAAAATCGTGTAGTGCCTTTCCAGAGATCAATAAAATATTTTAATTTTGGGGGTACTTTGCATGAAGCCTCGGTGACATTTGCAAAAATTTAAAGAAAATGGCTGAGAATTGTGTCTTGAAATTTGTCACTCGAATAGAAGAAAGTGCATGTATTCGTGTAGTAAAGTAAAATCTCTGCAATTGTGAAAATTGCTTAAATATTTATATTTAAAACAATAATAGTTTTCGTTTATAAAGAAGTTCGAGCTTTCTCTCAACCAAATTTCCTGATTTTCATTTTTCTGAAAGGTAATGGCCTCAAATGCTGACTGTTGTTATTATTAACTCATTTTACAATATAAACTCTGAATTTCAATAAAATCATAAAATTAGTATAAATATTTTTCTGCAATCGTTTGTTCATTGCGTCAGTTGGTTGTTAATGTGACTCAGTCAAGTACTCTTTTTATGCTGTAGTCTCCAAAAGTGTAGCAACGAGATAAACTAAATTTAGAAGGAAAGAACAGAAGCGGTTGACCCAAGAAAATCCTTTTTTGCAAATCACTGGTTTATGGATAAACCAGTGATTAATTAAACACTTTTACAACATTGTATAAAAGTTGACTCTCAGGACAAGACAATGCGAGGACAATGGCGTCTCGTGCTGATGTTGCACGGTTGTACAACCCACAGAAAATCGGGGGGAAATCTTATATCTTCGGGATTTACGTACATTTTCCTTTTAATAATATTCAAGATATTGCAGCAATATCGATGTCTTTGTAATCAATTTGAAACAAAAGTTGGTCTCAATGCATAACTAATACAAAAACTCGAGTGCTCTCTTGAAAACAAAGCCAGAACAACGTGCGCGGGAGGTGAACATAACTGACACCGACACTTCGCATAAAAAGATGTAAGTAATATTTCAATACAGATTTTTATTAAACTTCGTTTTAATTAATGTAAACGAATTGCTTACATTTTATTATACAGATTTTATTTTATCGTTCGCTGAAGATTCGTGCGGCGTCACCCGGGCAGTCGAGGGCTCGTTCGCCCAGCGAAACACTGACTCAACTCCCGTGCTAACATACGAGAACTATCGCTGCGCTGCTTAACTTAACTTAAAGAAGATTCTGAAAGTTGTGTCCTTTAACATGACTTAGCGGTGCTAGAATGCATTATTGGCACCTTCTGATTTACCCTTTGAAGTAAGTCTTGAGGAATTGCTGCGATTTTCTCTTCGATAGAGCGCCGGAGCTCTTACCAATGTGTTTTTTTTTTTGTTTTTTTTTCAAATACCCTGATCTTTCAAGTTTCCCCAAAAGAAAAAGTCACAAAGAGTCAGATCAGGTGTTCTAGGAGGCCATAACCCAAGACAAATTATTCGATCGTCACTATAAACATTATTTGAAAAGTTCATCGATCGAACAGCAGAATGTGCAGCAGAGAGCAGCTGCCAAATCGTGTTGAAAGCAACAATAGACACCACAAAGATTTTCTTGGAAATTGTTGTAACCTGGCCCAGATTTTTTTGCTTTCTCTTCTGTCAGAATACGGCGCTTTCGAAACTTCACATGGCACTTGCCAATTAAAATTCCACGGGTGCGAAGTTTCTTTACAAGCTTCAAAATTGTCGACCAATGTAGAACATTCACGCCCAGAAATTTCTTAATAAACCTCTTGCGGCAGTTCTGGCAGACTTAAGTTGAACGAAAGTGTCGTAAAGAAATGTGTTCGGCTTCAAAGAAAGTTTCATGATGCGTGTCAGTTTAATGCTCCCGGGAGACTGATGAACGGAGCCCTTGTTGACAAGTTCCCGGGGAACCGAGGACTCGATCGCTGAGTTTTTTTAAACACCGTCTGGCTTCCCACTGCTGACGAGCAATTCGGGGATGGCGATTGCATCGTTCAACACGATCGAGCACCTGTTCATACTACACGGTCTGTGGCGGAGTAGCTACATGACACTAACATCCCTGTAATGGACAGGCCTGCACAGAGTCCTGTGTTGAATCCTATCAAATACCTTTGGTATGTTTTGGACCGCCGACTTCGTGCTAGGCCTCACCGACCTACATCGATACCTCTCCTCAGTGCAGCACTCCGTGAAGAATGAGCTGCGTTCCCCAAAAAACCTTCCAGCACCTGAATGAAAGTATGCCTGCGAGAGTGCAAGCTGTCATCAAGGCTAAGGGTGGACCAACACTCTATTGAATTCCAGCATTACCGATGGAGGGCTCCACGAACTAGTAAAACATTTTCAGCCACGTGTCCGAATACTTTTGATCACGTAGTGTACCTGACTCGCATAAAAATGTGTGAGTAATATTTCAATACAGATCTTTATTAAACTTCGTTTTAATTAATTTACACGAATTACTTAAAGTTGATTATATATTAGTGTTCTGAATTTTCGATTGAGCTTCAACCTCCAGTTTGTTTGAGGTCGCCACTGGGCCTGAAGCCTATTCCTATTGATACCAGGGTGACGCACCAAGGGACGCCCGTAGGGATCGAATCCCGGTCCCATATTTTGGAACCTCGGCGGCGGCGATGGTGAAACGATAAGCGTACTGGACTGTGGTACCCAAGTTGGCGGGTTCAAACCCGATCGAATCCGTGGATTTTTAAGGGCGAAAAAATCCTTCGTGCGCCTTCCTTCGGAGGGAAAGTAAAGCCGGCTGTCCCATGTTCGTAGATTTACTTGCATGTAAAAGATCCTCAAGCCTGAATGACTCCTCTGAGCTAAATTCAAATCGCGTGTTTCTCGCCCAAGAAATACCTCCTTTCTCTCCTAGTTGGTGAAAGGAGCGTAGCGAAATTTGTGTGGTCAGACGGAAGAGCGGGCCTGATGGCCCGAGTCTCGCCACGTAAAATAAGGCAAATTCAATTCAATTCAAAAAATGGAATCCCGGTCCCATATTTTGGAACCTCATCTTCGCCGAGCTCAATGCAGGGGTAAAGCATGGGGTACGACTTCCGAGCGCCGCGGCTCGTAGCAGAGCATTGGTTTGAACGGAGGCCTTCCCACGTGCAGCGGGCGGGCGCTGCTGCGGCAAGCGGCGGAGAACTCTCGCCACGCGAAGCGGAGGAGGACGTACGCGCCACGACTAGCAGTACACAGCTTTAAATGGGCGCCTTCCCACTGCGCCGCCGGTCGCTGCGTTGTACCTGCTACGGTCCCTTTGGCCGCTTGCCCACGCCGCGGCACAAGCGCGCGAACGTCATTCATCAGGGCTCTTCGCCGCCCTACCGGCGACGACGGACAAAGGCACCGCAGTAGGTACCTGCTTCGGTCCCTTTGTCCGTCGTCGGCGAAGAGCCCTGATGATTGACGTTCGCGCGCTTCTGCCGCGGCGTGCGCAAGCGGCCTTTGTTCGTCATCGCCGGAGGGGCGGCGAAACCTACCCCTCCAGACCCCACCCCCTTCCACGGAGGGCGGCGGTGGCTGCGTCGGAAGGGCTCTGCTACTTGAAGGAAGCGCGCCGTGAGAAGGCGCCCTTAAATGGGAGCCTTCCCACTGCGCCGCGGCCGCAGCGTTCTACCTGCTCCGGTCCCTTTGTTCGTCGTCGCCGGAGGGTCGGCAAAACCTACCCCTGCAGACCCCACCCCTTCGGCGGCGGTGCGGCCGTGGCTCCGGCGGTTGCTGCGTCGGAAGGGCTCTGCTGCTTGAAGGAAGCGCGGCGCCGTGGCGACGTGGGAAGGCCGAGCCGCTGGCTAAGGGGTGGTCGCACATCGCGAAAGGCGCAAAGCAGCGGTCTTAAACCGCACATGCCAAACCAAGGGGTTCGAAGTGCGCCGCGCCACGCCTGGAGGGCGGCAGGTCGGCGGCGTTGCGTGGTAAGGACAGGTATAGAAAGATTTTCTTAAGAATTGGGTAAAGTGACAGTTCGCGAAACAAGTGAACATCACGTGTACTTCAGAGAAGTAAACACGTGCACCGTCACGAGTACGCATCTCACATTCAAGACTCGGTTTTAAATCAAACATAATACTTATCACATCAAAATTAAATTCAATGTAATTTTTATAAAAAGAAAGAATTTTTACAGAAGAGCCCAAAGCTCTCCACTTCCTAATTTCAATTATTTCTCGTGGCGCACTATATTTTCGTCGGACGAGGACATCACAGCCAGGGAGCGTCGTAACTATTTACAAGTTAGCCAACTGCAAACGAACGAATGAATGAAGGAGAGTCTAATAAGTTCAAGGACACAACGACCACAGAATCGTCAGCTGTGTTGCCAGCACTAGCTGTCAAATCACCCCATTCTAAAGAAAATCGGACAATAGCCGCGGCGTTGGGTCAAAGCGACTCTCTCGGACAAAGGAGAAAGGGCGGACGCCGGGAAGACCAGGTGGCGCGGCCCACAGTGCGCGCAGAGGGGGGGGGGGGGGCAGACCAGGCGGTTGTAATGCCACGAGCGTGCGCAAACAGCACACATTGTACAAGATTATCTTGGCGTCGTAACAGACCCACGATTGAAGTTCATGAGTCATGTGAAGTGTGTCTGCGGAAGGGCAAGGCCGTTGTTTATGAATCCCCGGCATATTGTCGGCTCACAAAACATTATTTATCAGAAAGCTCTCATTACTATTTACAAGGGCACATTTTTGCCTATCGTTACCTAATGGGTTTTAGGGCAGCGCCCTCCCTAGGAAAACCAACCTCGGGAAAAGTTGCAGAAAATATGAAACTTGCAATAAATCGACTCGTTTAATTTATTCATACTAACGGGGCAATATTTTAGTACGATTTTCGTTTTAAGTGCGCGATTATGCGAAAGATAAATATTTTTGGAATAGGATGTATTGTGGCCTATCGGGAGTCCGTCTGTAGCTGGTGCATGAGGGGCAATGAAAACTTGAGGAGAGTGAGGGTACGGGGAGTTGGGCAGGGGCAGCGTGCTCCTGTTAGGGTTTTGTTCGGCGAAGTCCGCGGCTATTAACTAAGCTACAAATACCGACCCATTCATTTGATTTCATAAACATTACTTGTACATTAATTGTAGGAATCTAAAGTGATGTGGCTCCCAAGTTTATGCAAGATCAGCAGCACTGGGTCCTGGGCAGTTGGTCAAGTAAGGCTTTTAAAGTGTTTGGGCCTTCAATAAACTCTTCATTCGTTCAGCCATTCTTGCTACATGTGTAAATAGCACAAGGGGGCATTTAAATAATTCAGATCAATAAATTATTTTGTTTGGGGCAGTGGGAGTCATGCTCCGATAGTGAGATTCACTGACCACCTTTACCCCACAAGCACATTTTTATCATAACTACTCATAAACTTTTAAAGAATGTTTAAAATTACTCGCAATCGGTATCAAATAATTTGCTGAAGTATTCCCCTTCCAACAAATTTTAATTCATCCAGAAATCTCCAAGTTCACATGAGTACGGCCTTTTTTTCTGAGAGCACTTTCTAACATCAACCACTTACTTTCCTGGTACGAATGCGATAATCGTCGACGTAAGCTTTCTTTGGCTGCAGCGACTGACTATAGTTAACATGGGTAATGATAGGTAGAAACATGTTTCTGCCTTTCAACATGGTTTGTTTATAATATTTATCGATAATTTACTGCTGACTCCCATTACTCCGTGACCCCATTATCCCCACTACCACTAGTTAATTAAGGATCAGTTTCAATGTGACGCATTGTTTGCTTCTTATGTCTGCTCAACGCCAGTCTCTTTTTCTGCTTACATTTCAAAGGACATCAAAACGCTTGAGGTTTAGATTTCGAGTTTTCAATGTTTTGTGTCCTGCGTAAAAAACACGTGTGCCCACGAACGTTGCAAGAGTTCGATAAATATGTAACTTTGTTGCTTTTATTATATTTTCTACTTATTTATATTCAGACTTCTAGTGATGTCGATTGACTTATCCTTTTGCAAGGAGAAGATTCTTGAATTCCATTCCAGTGTACCTGCTACTCAGGCTGTTGACGCCGAATTGAAGTTCAACAAATGTGTAAGATTCGTCGAAATAATGTAAATAGGAGTTACGTATTTTAAACCTCTTATCAACGTGAATAACACTCGTAGAAAATGCTTTGTATTGTTATATTAGTTTTGCTCCCAATATCCGTCGTTTTCAATGAATTCACTCACATACAATGTTCTCAACTCAAAAGATCTCGTATGATACAAGGTTGCCTTTGGATCGTTATTGTGGTCGTATTTTCAAGCAAATGGTCTTTGACGAAAATATTTTTCATTTCTTCTTTTCAGAGCCAAAACTGCATTTATTTATCTCTGAATCAAGAGAGTTTCCCAAAAATTGTAGGTGGCTGCAGGGCAAACAGAAAACTGCTGTTAGAAATAAGAATTTTTGAACGTTCATGTTTTATTTTTGAAAAATATTATGTACAATATTTTTCATGCAAATATTACATGGAACTACAACAAAATTTTTATCGAAATGATTGAACAACAACGACTTTTAACACTCAATTTTGCACTTACACAAATGTGTGTTATTTCTTTCAACCCGGACCATATTGGAATGTAGCATCAGATAGTACAAATGCATATATGTCATTCAAAGTCATTTTTGCAAATATACATAAAGAACAAAAATATTTCACTATTTATATGAGACAATTTAATTGTAATAGTGCTGTTAAGATTTTAGACATAATTTGGTTAGACAATTTAATGTTTTTCAGGTCAATGATGTGATAGCAGATGATGATGTCTTAGTATTTTTAATATCTACTTGGCGCTCACCAGATAATGTTCATATAAGAGCTCTGGGAAACACACCACTAAAACATGAAATGTTTTTTGAAGTAATTATTGTTTAAATAAAAAATTAAGTTAAAATAAATTTTTCATACTACATTTGAATTGAAATGCAAATAATTTACTTCTTCAGATTGATTCAAATCCGCTGAGTGAGATAATACAAAATGGAGGGAAAAGAATTGTTTCAACTGATATACTTAATGAAAAACTTCTGGAACATATTTCAAATATTGGGAAGACAATACCCAAAGAATTTCAGTGTGTTCCTTTTATACCTGAAGATCCTAAATTACCTAAAATTTTGTGTTGCCTGCTGTCTCGTGGCGACAAATGTGAATGCATGAAACAAATACACACCTTTGCTGTGGACTATATGCTAAGGTTATGAATTTAAAATGTAGAGGTAGAAAAATGTAAAAAATGTATGTTACATAGGCAAATATTTGAAGCTCACAATGCCAACCAAATTTCTGTGTAATTTTCAAATGAAATCTGAATTGTATAATTAGTTATTATCAATTTTAGATTTTGAGAAAAAATTAAAATTGTTTATATTTGTGATCTCACAAATTGCTTCTGATAAATTATTTTTTTAATATATGAAATACACAAGTAAATTAACATATTAAAATATTTGCGATTTATAAAATTACTGAGTTATAAATAAATATATCATTTTACTTAAAATAAATTTTGAATAATTGAAAATTGTTTTTATGAAATGTTGAATAAAAAAGCTTTGTATAGGAAACATGACAAGCTCCTTAGTATAAGTCTACTATGTTTGTCTACTATTTTTTATTTTACAGAATTGTGAATTTTCTTCACAGATATTGTGGCAACACTCTTTCTTTAGCCTTCCTACATGATGAGCAGGTGAGGCTGTATCAACGAAGCTGTGATCTGTTGGATTTAGCTGAAAGCTTATTTCAGAATTTAGGTACTATAGTACGTATTTGCTTGATATTTTAATACTATTTTCATGCTCCAAAGGCCTAAGATCAAATGAAAGGAAGCCCGAAATTTTAAGTTTCTATGACAATGATGAACTAAAGAAAAAATCTTGTTAAAACATCAGTGGCACCATGTGACAGTTAAACAGGGGGAGAGGAGCACTGAGGTAGAAGTGAAAATGACCCCTAAATAGTTATTGCGTTGTTCATATTTTGAATACCATAAGAATTTATCAGATGAATAACTTGAAACAGGCAAAAACCATTGAAGTACAAAATTACATCCTAGAGCACTTTTACTACAGCATTTGCAGTGATATACTTCTACAAGGGTACTCTTTACTTGCATTTCTGTTGTGATGGGCTTGCAGAATTTACTTATGGAGAATGAAGCCTGATAAGAAGATCAGGATCAGATAACTCTAAAGCTCCTTTCTTAACTGTTCTTTCTAGTGGCAGGGTATATGACAACTTGTATAAAATATATTCTACATCAATATGTCACATTATATTAATATTTTCCTTCAATGGGAAGATAGAATTTTCATTGTCTCTCCTCATGCCAAGCCACTATATGAAAAATGCATATTCATATATTCTATATATTGTGGCATGTATCAGGAAGAAAAGACAAGTTTTAATGAAGCTTTTTCAGAAAAGTGAACTGTGTCCTATGCCTTTTGAGTTCAGAAACGTACATTTTAATTTTTGTTGAAAAAATGATAAGCACTTTAAGGTGAAAAGATTTACATTAAATTATAAATATTTTTTTAAATTTATATTATTATTTTAAAATGTCAAGTAACTGAAAGCCATAATATTCTTTTAAGGGAACGTGTCAGGTGTATTAAGTGTGGTCATGCATGAAGCCCGAAAACTTGTCAAAGCTGAACGCTGCTCCTTATTCCTAGTGGACAAGAAACAAGGCACTCTTAATGCACAAGTTTTTGATGGAGCGGTAAGAATTATTTTCTTCAGTTCAAATCTTCAAATCACGTAGGCAGCCTACACGTGGCCCCAATCTATTTTTATTCTGCAAGAACAATCAATGAAAATCTTTTCATTAAAAAGAACGTTGTACATTCAGTACTATTACTTTATTGCTCTTATTTCTTAATGAATACAGGATTGGGGCATAAGTCATGGCAACTTTTTTTGTGAGAATACGAGCACTGGTGGAAAATGTGAAATAAACACATGAAAGGTAGGAACTAAGTGTATATACATTTAAAGCACACCAACATTTTGTTTCACATATTAAGATATTTGGAATGAAAGTACTTGTTTCGTGTTGCAAAGTATTCTTGCATACACGAGTTCTATATATTGCAAAAACATAACATATCCGTTCGAAAGACCGACTAGGCATAGTGTACGTTCGATTACCGCACACTGGCAGGTCGCCACGTGTACGATCATTGGTTGACAAGCGTTCTACACTGATACTCTCCTGTCCATCTCGCAACCAGTGGCGGGCTCCAGAGACAATCTTGAGGGGGGGTGCACAAAATTCTTGAATGGGAAGTGGAAAGAGAACTGGAAACTAAATCAATTTTATATTCGAGGAACCAGATTTTTTGACTCTTTAAAATTTTAATCACACAATACAAGACATTAAAAATAACATTTTAATATAAAATTAATAACACAAAATATAAATTTATAGTTAACTTTACGACTATAGAAATACATTTACAGAGATTTTAAGACCAATGCCTTATCATGAAACAGGTCTTGTGCACTACTGCACCCTTTAGGAGAACCGGAGAAAACGTATTATTATAATAATATTTATTGAGTCACATATACAATTACAATCGCGCATGACGAGTCAATATGATGTCTTGGGTGGAGAGATCGAAGTTGCAGTTATGTTATTTGGAGGTAGAGTTCCAAACCCCGACAGCATCCTACAAGGAAACATTTCGCAAGTGTCACCGATCCCGGGCTGTGTTCGCCGACAGCCGCCATTTGCAAGTCCCATGTTGCAATTTTCACAACTCCAAATCATTACGCTTATGGCAACGCCATATTTGGCTACCCTGTGACAGGACAAAATTCTCGAACGTTCTTGACCAATGAAAGGAAACACGAAACATGAAATGTTGAATTCTCTATTCGGAGAATAACATGGCTAAGAACTACTTTAACATCAAATAGTGTACAAAAGGAAAGGAAAGATGGATGTGTATTATTTGGGAGGGCAGTGTCCCTTGAACCTCCCTGCCATAACCGCTACTGCTTGCGACTCCCCAGTATGGCAGGTACATTAGTCCCCAGAGTTTCCACCAATTCCACGTGATATTCTGGGGCGTTTCTCCCGTATAAAACGCCTATCTTGGAGTATGAGCGCTGCTTGAAACGGGTTACATTCAACTGGTATGGCGGCTGTCAGACAACTGATTTCACATTGTTCTCTGAGCTAATAAAGACACAAAGCCTGCGTGAGTGGGTACATATTACTACAGCATTTCTTTGACAAGACAAATACAATTGCGTGATCCGATTACATTTCTTTTAGAAAAAAAAATTGCAATAACTTTCGCCCCAACCCTTGTATGTCTGGTGAACAAAAATTAGTTTAGGGGATACACATAACAGGGATCAGTACAATTTTGACCTTTTAAAGGTGTCTTTAAATGTTTTAAAACAGTTTTTATAATTTACAAATTCAGTTTAAAACAAAAAATGTAAAATTGGGTATAAAAGATCACCTGAAAGAAAATAGAAAAAAACAATTTCCGCGTTAAACTCAATAAATACAAATCAACAAGACTCTCACAGTAGACTCAATTACTGTTATCTAAAGAACTATGCAATGTACTTATTCTGTACATAATACTAAAAGCTGAAATAATGTGCTAAAGCTAAATACTATTTTTTTATTACAAATGTTAAAAATCCATCAGGATTTGTGCATTTCTCAGAAAGTGTAGTAAACTAGTACAAATGCAGAAAAATATTACTTGAACATTTTTCCATTTTGAAAAGTGCACATCTTCATGCTTTCAGATCTAGGTGCTTATAGTATTTCATTCATCTTACAGGGAGAAAAAGATGTTAAAATTACCATTGATCAAGGAATAGCCGGTCAAGTGGTTATCTCAGGCCAGGTAATGAATGTACATGATACTTATAAAGATCCAGCATTTTATCGCAGACTTGATGAAGATTCTGGATTTAAGACAAGGTACTTCTTTGTTATTCACATTTTTCGACTTATAAATCATTTTCTAATGAGTTTAGCTACATTATTTAAAATATATTAATGTATTGCTATAAGTTTGATATGAACATCATATTGAAATGGATTATCTCTTCTGCACAATGGCGTAAGGTTTAAAGTTTTCTTGCTACCTCTTACGCGGTAGAGAGAAAGTTACGTAATGCTGCACGAAAAACCGCGAATTTTCGGCAGAAAAACTCGTATTACATGCCCCCTGGTAATGAAAAAAACGGATAAATACAGTTTCTATATTTAGGGGGAAAATACTTTATCTTGTGCAGTAGCTAGAATCCATGTTCTTTGATACCGAAAACTCGATTGACGGCAAAACGTCTGTCCGTCCATCTATCTGTGAACAACGCTAGCAGCTAAACCGTTCAACCGTTTTTCTCCAAAAATGACATTCCTCAATTGATCTGGCTGATCTGTTGCGTCCCGTTAAATTTGAAACCGATATTTCAATTTTGGGGAGTACTTTACATGAAGCCTCAAGAGCATTTTCATTTTTTAAATGGCTCCATCTTTTTTTATTATTTTTTTAATTTTTGGATAGTGTGAAAGACTAGAGAAGACTAGAGAAGTTTTTGCTCTATATTCGAATATACATGTCTTTTTGTAGTATAAGAAAACTATTTTACTGGATTAGTAATTAAGAATGCAATAACTTACAATATTTGTTTGCAATGCAACTCTAGTTTCGAATAATAATAAAATGCATTACATATTTACTTTAACTTGTTTGGGAGCTGGATCGAATACCTCATTGTCCAATGTTTGATTTTGTGTTTAACCTTATAGATCTTTCATTATGATCAACGAGAATATCCAATTCAAAAGGATCTAAAAAGTTTATAAGTATTTCTTCTTTGTGCAGGAATATGCTGTGTGTTCCCATTCTTAGCCAGGGAGAGGTGATAGCCGTAGCACAACTCTGCAACAAAATAGATTTTCCTCACTTCACCAAATTTGATGAAGAAATTGCTGGCCCATTTGCAAGCTACTGTGGCATTTGTATTCAACACACTATGTTGTACGAGAAGATGGTCATTGCAAAAGCGCGTCAGAAGTTAACCAATGAATTAATGATGTTCCACATGAAACAGAAGGTAATTCGAGCAGGTACCTGAGAGATAATGTAATTCATAACACGCTTTTCATTGTAATATTTTAATCGCTAGGGAGTACTGCTGTCAAATCGAAAGAAGTATGTGATATTTACCAATTTTATATTTTATTAGTGGACCAGCAATGCTTCGCTGTTGCAGTATATTACACATCACGCAATATTGGTCGCGTGATTGTTAATCACGTGTTACACTACGCTGTAGAAAAAGTCTAATAGATGAAAGTCTTTCTCGTGTATGTGGGTTTGTTCAATCTTCTGGTTGGGACCTGGTTGTCAAGTATCCTATTGTTAAAACGTTCTCCTTCTAATTTGGACATGCGTTCGCTATGCCTCTATCTTAGAGAAATTTGATTTACTTGTCCTAGATTCATGTAATAATTCCGGCCGATATTTCACAATTGCAGGGGCACAATACTTGAATATAAAGTGACGACGCCCATAATCGTTGACTCTCAGACAGATTGCGTAGTATTCAGGAGCGCTTGAGGTGTCATAAACAAATAAATCATCGTCAACAACCCACCCACATGTCCGATTTTATTCAAACCACTCATTAAAAACTCCCGTTACTAATAATAACAAAGTGTGAATATTTCAGCGAAATCGGCCAAGTGTTTTTCGCGTTTATGTACGACCCACATTTGCACATTCCCCTTTATTCACACATAGAAAATGTCCGCCCCTTTTGATGCCTACACCACCCCTCACTGGCTGAAACGTTTTTCCTCAGGTGTAGTTTCCCCTCCATCCACCTCCCAGAAGTGGCTCGTGAGTCCTCATCGACTATTTTGCTTACTTTATTGAGCAAGTGCGACTCGTCAACCAATAGAACTGAGTTTTGTGTTAGAGCGGGATTTCCCAAACTTTTTTCTTTCATTAGCTCCTTTTAAAACAATTGTGTGCTCCATCAATCCCCTTACATTATTTTCTACTATATTCAGCATATAAAATCATGCATAACTCAAAGAATCGCATGTAAATGTTTCCGAGATAACAATTTCCAACACCAATATTTTGGTGCATAGAGAGTTTCAACAAATCGAAGTCGCTTGCACCTCTGTATAGATTTTAAATAGATTGTTCATGTCATCTTTTAAAGAACTGATATTGTAGAACAGATTTAATGTAACAAAAACCTCTCTATCATCAATTTTGTATTGTAATTCTGGAGAAGAATTCTATCGTCTGTTTGCTTGATCGGTAATTTTCCGTGGTTTCTCCGATCAACACCTGGCGAACGCCGGAGTAGTACCCTAACAAACGGGCCACGGACCGCGCGCGCTCTTTCCTTCCTCATCCTTGTCTTATCCTCACCGCTTACTTACACTCTCTTTCACCACACTGCCATACGTGTCGGGTGGCCCGGCGAGAGCTTAAAGCTTGGCCCCGGCTGGGGCGGTGCCACGCTGGTGAGAGATACCTTCACGCCTTCAATCAGGGAGGGGAGATCACAGCCAATAAAATATGCACTATACTTACGGCGCTAATGACCTTAGCCGTCGACTCGCCCGGAATCACTAATCAACCAATCAATCAAACCAATCAATCAATTGGTTAGCCGATCTCTGCCTACGGGAGGAGTCGAAAGGATCTAAATAAATGGTCAGACTAGAAGGCACAGCCCTCTAGCAGTGATTCATCGAAGTCCCAAAAGACATAAAGGTAACTGGCACTACTACGTAAGACAAATTCAATGAGACAGTTGTGTCTGTATTACTTAACACAGGGTTCTTCTGTCTGGTTCTGTGTGAAAGTTATAAGCGAATGTCCTACTCCAAATTGCGATACTCGTGTTTAATCGGTATGGCGAAATTGAAAAATATTTCCCTGGTAATTGTTCACGTGATCTCTACAAGCCTAATGTGTACCCCTAGAGGTATACCCACCGCATGCAGTTTAAGAACTCCGATTTAGAATAATCATGATATTATGTTTGAAGTTCATTATAAAACATAAATCGAGCGAAATGTCTCAGGGCGTAGCGCGTTGACTTCGCATTCGGGAGGCCCGGGTTCAATCTCCGTGCCGGCCATCCTGTCCGGGGTTTTCGTGGTTTCCCCTCTGTCATCCAGGCGAATGTTGGGATAGTTCTATTGAAAGGCTACGACCGCGAAACCGAAGTCGCTAGTGGAATTCGTTAGCTACGTGAAGTCACGAAGGCTGTGCCAATTCGAGACATCGCGGGTTCCTGGTTGGGTGACCGACTGGGAACTCCGAGATCTAACGGCGCCGATGCCAATTGCCCTTTAAGGAACATATAATGGCTTAATACAAATTCAATTGAAACAAAAACTCATTTTGAAATCCCACAGGTGTATCTATCTGAGAAGATTGAATTGATCAAATGTGAATCTGATCATCGGTCTGAATATCATTACGATACCTTTACCTGCTCACCTTTACTTATAAAAGAAAACCATACAGTATGTATAGTACTTGAAATTTTTGATGAACTTGGGCTCATGGAAGAATTTGACATATCTAGAGATATGATGGCAAGGTTAGTACAATGAAGAAATATTGAATTATTAATTTGCGATTTCTTATGCCTTAAATATTTGCAGTAATATTTACTAGCCTAAGATAATTTTGCTGAAGACAATTGAACAGACTAATCAGAATTTTGCTGTGCTTTGTTCAAATCTGCAAATCATTTTTTTTTACGTCAGGATTTCACTTGCGCTAAACTTTTCTGTTAGAGAAAAGGAACTGAAGAAAAACAAAACGTTAATTCTAGATAAGAATATTTGATTACTTAAAATGTCAAATTTTGATGATAAATATTGAAGTATTTAAACTTTAACATTGAGGGTGTGTTACTAAAAGCAATCAATTCAGCACTCTACAGCGATTGGAAGGAATGTATGTGGCGAACCCACTTTATTTTCGAAATTTTAACATTACAACTGTATTATGTTCGCACAGAAAATTGTATATATTTCATTCTACATATATTGTTGTGATTGTCCAAGATAATTCATTTAATGATGGAACAGTCAGGAATACACGAAGAAAGAAAAATATAATGCAGAAAAATTTAGCATTTGTACTAAGGTTATTAATTTAGGTTAAGCATTTAGCCAAACTCATTTTTATGAATTTGTTTATTGCATTCATTATTTCAGTGATAAGAATTGCCTGATGAAGTCACAGTTCTCTTTGAAACGTTACGATGTACGGGATGATTCTAAATTACTTACCTAAAATTAACATTAAATAACACAGTATATTTATCTTTCTGGAATAATTTATTCTCAGTTCACAAATTGACAAATTATGAAGTTTCTTTGTACAAATGTTCAATGCGGATTCCTCTTGAAACATGGTCGATTTCCTTCAGAAATGAAATTTCTTCCCAGATGCGTGAGAGCATCTACCTCAGCCAGCGCATCATTGATACGTTGGCGAAGCTCGTGGAAAGGAGAGATGTGCATTTTGTCTTTAACTTATATATCCACTGAGAAAAGTCTAAGGATGTTAGATCATGAGATTGCGATGCCCAAGCTATGGTCCCACCCGGCCCAATCCAAGCAGGGGCAGTCCCAGATTGTTAGGTTGTGATACCCTTTCAGTGGTATTATTAAGAGGCTCCATCTTGCTAGAAAACGATTTCACCAGTGGCGGCTGGTGGGGGTGGGCTGCGGGCTGAAGCCCCCCGGGCTTGTCAGAATTATTTAATTTCTCTTTGATGTTAAAATAAAGTATATGAAACAGTATTTCTTGCAATTACATGGCCAATATAGCCCACTGCTGGTGCGTGTGTAACTTGCGAAACGCTTTCGCCGGGTTCTGCTGTGATTCCATTTCCCTCCCTTGGACTCCCAGTCTCTGTTGCTTGCAGAGAAGTATGGGCATAGTTGATTTCACTTCCTCCGCTATTTATGTCTCGATATTGGAACTCCAGGGGCTGCAGGAAACACAGTCCCTCCTTCCGTTTTGCACGTAGTTTACATGATTTTTAAAGCTCTGGCGGACGTATGATATAGTTGAGGTGCTGAATATTGTATTTTCCTATTTTTTGTAATTTCTCATTGAGTAGAAATAAATTTATGTAACTCTCCGTCAAATAACGGCGAATTTTTGGCAGAAAAACTTTTATTACTGGATCCTGGTAACGACAAAGTGGATAAGTACAGTTGCTCAGTTTAGAAATAAAACCCTCTAACACGTGGTGTTGTCAAAATTCATGCTTTGGAGGTCCTTGATACGGAACAATCGAATGACGGCAAAACGTATCTGTCCGTCTGAGAACAACGCTAACGGCTAAACCGTTCAGCCGATTTTCTCCAAAATTGATATTCCCCAGTCGACCTGCTAAGGTCGCGGCCCCTTGAATTTGAAACCGATATTTTAATTTTTAGAGATACTTCACATGAAGCCTCTTGGACTCACACAAGCTTCCATTTTTTCAGAAAAATAACCACTTTTTTTACATTATTGATTATTGGGTAGTGTAAATGACGTTTAATAGAATGGTGCTGATGTCATTGTCGTTAAAGACCCTAATTTTTCGAAAACAGCGGAAGTTTAATTTTTTTTCGAAATTATCCTAGAACTAAAATAGTGATGATAGAGATTTTTTAGTTACTGGAATCTCTTCCACAAAGATAGATTTTGGAATAAGGTCAGGTACATTTTTACGAAAATTTGAGAACTTTTCGCGTAATTTTGCATGAAAATAGCGGGAGAAAGTACGAGTTCGTGTTGAGAACGGTTACGAATATTAATTCTGTTCAATATTTAAAAACTGTAAAATTTAGCAGGTTAACTCTTGAAGAAAAGAGCGATAGAAATCTCACTCGAATTTTCTGTTTTGCATGCAGCCCCCCCCCCCATTAATTAAAGACACCAGCCGCCATTGGATATCACTCATCTCCCCTTGAAGTTGTGGCATCAGGTAGTTCTACAACACATCTACGAGTACATATGTAATTCTCGTTAAAGTCTACCCATTAAAAATATGGTTCATAAACTTTGGCAGAACGCAATACTAAAAAGACATCCAGTTGTGGTTACTCGCGTGTATTATCCAAGATGTTCGTCACCATTAACGTGGCACGTGGCCTCACCACAGAACACAATCTTTTCGAGAAAATGAGTGGTACCCCAAGCAAAACTGTCCTTTCCGCTCCGCTATGCGTCTCCATATCAACTGCGGTGTCACTGTTCCTGATTAACAAGTAACTGGAGAGACATCAAGTGGCATAGCATTAAAACTTGAGAATACTGCGAGAGATTTGAAGAGCCTCCGGATAAATATCAGTCAGTGGTTTTGAAATCATTTTATATTACTTTAGGAGACTAATTTAGAATCACCCTGTAGAATGAACATGCATACTACGATGTGTAACAGATTTTTTTTGTTTTCTTCTTTCCGATTGTCCTGATTGTCCTATTTAAGTGGAACTTAAATAATTAAAAGTATATGATGTTCAACGAATTTTTAACCGTTTTAAGTATGTCTTGTGGTTCTTGAGTTTGGGTCAATAAATTAATATAATTCAACAAACTTCACAATTCCTTTAAAATTCAATATATTTTAGCTATAATTAAATTTTCATTACACACACACACACCTACACATATATATGTGTGTGTGTCTGAGAGCGTGTGTGTGTCTGTGTCTGTGTGTGTTCTGTAGCTCTGATGAAGGCCAAATATATGATCGGAGTAAGTTTGTAAAGTATATTATTTTATTATCCAAACTCCAGAACCATTAAACACGCTTAAAAGTGTATGTTTCATCTGAGAAATGTGTTTTCAGGTGTATACTCTGTATGAAGGCTGGGTACAGAGACCCACCTTATCACAATTGGATGCATGCATTCTCAGTCGTGCATTTCGGTTACCTGATGATCCGTTATTTTCATCTGCTTGAAGAGGGATACATGACGTACGTAAATTTGTTTTGTAGACTCAAAGCAGGATGGTAAATGATGGGGATTGTTATAGGGTTTCGTCCTCCATAGAGCATTTGTAATCCCCTACTGGAAACTGTTTAAGTTGTATTTTGCCAAGGCCACTCTCTGAGTGCTTCAATTATGATTTCCGCGTTTAGAAATTTTCAAATTGAGAAGATTGAAACACTTTTCCAAGTGCATTCTTAAGATTTAATCACTATTCAGCGTAAGCGAAAATGCACATCGATGCACTCGTCTTTCTTTCCTTCCCCGGCTCTCCCTAGGCAGCGGCTGCTTTTCCGAGGCCTTACGACGCATATTCCGTGTCTCCATATCTCTATGGGTGCTCCATCGCCCTGTTTGCCGCCAAATTTTCTGACGTTGCCCGCTCTCCACGTGGCTAAGTTCTCAATTGCTCGGACGTAGGGCTGGGCTTTGGGAGACATTATTATTATTATTATTTATTATTATTATTATTATTATTATTATTATTATTATTTTATCTTTATTCACAGTCTTTCTGGAATTACAATAATCACACAGATACATATCAAAGCATGATCACTTATTACTTACAAGTTACTATAAATAGCGCTTACAGTTTTCACACAGCACTTACACCAAACAGTACATAGCACAACAATATTTACACAACATTTATAAAATTTAAACTTTGAATTGTAATATAAAAATTTTTCAACAAATGTTTTATAATCTGAACCCATAATCTTCTAACCAAAGAACATGTATTAATTATTACCGCTTTCTGCATGTTTATCAAAATATTTTTGTTATATCTAGTTCTCCACTGACTTTACCAGTGACCTTTGGTACAATACCAGTTGCTATTATTATGCTACCTTATTATTATTATTATTATTATTATTATTATTATTATTATTATTATTAATATTAATATTATCATTATTGTTGTTGCTGTTGTTGATGGCGGTGCTGTGCGTGGATGGTGCGTGTTGCGCAGCAAGCTGGAGGCGATGGCGTTCCTGGTGGCGTGCGTGGGGCACGACATCGACCACCGAGGCACCACCAACGCCTTCCAGAGCAAGGCCGGCACGGAGCTGGCCTCGCTCTACAGCTCGCAGGGCTCGGTCATGGAGGTACGGCCAGCTCCGCGAAACCTCCACGTGGGTGGAATGTCACAAGTAGCAAACATATCGACGTTTTTGCATACGTAAATACTTGTATTTCAGTGGACATCGTTTTTATTTTTACAGACAATTGAATAACACACGGCACGTGTTTTCATACACATTAATATTTTTATTATATGGACATTTTTGATTTCAACACAATAGCGACGTTACGGGATTAAATTGCATCCCATAGTCAGGCTTCTATAATCGTTAAAATAAAAGTTTATGTATGTACTTTGGCACAGCAGCTCTTTGCGTGCTAATGCCTAAAAGCAGCGTCCCGGCCTTGCTGCCATGAGTTAAGGGGTACGTGTGGTTAGCACTTCGCCACCCCTATGTTGTATTTCTGGTCTTCTCAATCTGAGAAGTGAGCTTTCTCATTGTCACACGCAACAGATACTGGGACGTTGCGAGGAAAAAGCACAATTAATTTTCGCCTCGCCCGGAAATCGAACCCGGGGTATCGCCGTGGAAAGCAAAGAGCCACCGTGGGCGCTCAAACACATCAACTGACAAAAAATGGCTACTACCGATTATTATTTCATATTTTAACTTATAAAAAATTGATATGTGGTTTTTTGATTCACATACTACAAATATTCGAAAACGTAAATACTCGAGTAGAAAACACCGATGTTAAAAATTAGGCTTTAATGTATTGATGTTCAAAACATCATAGATTTGAGAAAATGCATATCGATGTCGCATCCCCTCTTACAGTTATTTGGTCGTGAAAAAGTAGTTTACGTAACTCGTATGAAACTGGTGGACTTACTGATTTCAAAATACCGCTCTAGGTACTATGAAGATAGTACAAGTCACGTTCGTTTGGTTCAAACATATGCACGTAACACTGTGCACGTAACGTAACGTTAACGTAATAAACTTTGCCACAAAAGCTCTTTATGAGTTAAGGCCTACAAGCAGCCGGGACGGCCTTGCGGTCATAGGTTATGGAGTACGTGCGGTTAGCACATAGACATCCCTATGCTGTATTCTGGTCATCTCGACTTGAGAAGTGAGCTTTCTTATCGTTACACACCAACAGACACTGTCCCATTGCAAGGAAAGCGCACAAGTTTTGCCTCGACCGGAAATCGAATCCCGGGTTGCGCCGTGGAGAGGGAGCACGCTAACCAACAAGTTACAAAGGGCGTGTTAAAATAAAATTTTGAATATCAATTTAAATTTTCATAAAATCATTTTGTATAAATTCTACAACATTCTACCCACAGCACGTATTATCTCGTAACGCTTATCGCGTATCTCGTGACGTGATCATGTAATGATAATCGCAATGGATATTCGTCTCAGAACGATGTAACATTGATACGTATTATATTCCAAGAAGTGCAAATGTATATCATTAAATCTGATTGAAATTTGTAAAATTAACTGATCTTTCTCCATTTGAGAGAATCCTTCTTTTTGGATACAAGATAATATTTCATTATAGCATTTCCTGTGATTGTAAACGCACAACCTAACTCAATGTCAGTGTGTTGCAGTTTTCATAACTCCTTTGTAAGAAATCAGTCTCCATTCAGAAACATATTGAAAGTATTGCAACAGCACACATGTAATGTCAAAACTAGAACTGGCACGTAAAGAAAGAAAATATGCGTTTTATAAGTATTTTTATTCTTTACCGATAGATGAGCTGTTTCAAGTCATTATTTTAGTAATACTTGGCCACTCATATGTTTATACAATATTTACCTTGTATTTTTTCCTCAATGGGTAGACGTCGCGTGTGTCATACATTGCTTTGACACTGTGTACGAGGTACGTTTTGTTTTTCTTGCAGAGGCACCACTTTCAGCAGACGATGTGCGTGCTGCACTTGGAAGACTGCAACATCTTCGAGCACATTAACAAGGAGCAGTACAGCCATTGCGTTGAAATCATCAACCACGTCATATTAGGTAAAGCACTCCCGTCGCATGCCGTTTCAGCCTCAAAAGCGGTCGCATTTTTACGAATAAACAAACAAACTTGCTAATGGCTATTACAGGTGGTGAAAAATTCCCTTCGGAACCCCCATGGAGTACATGAATAGGGACGGATTTTAATGACATGTCATTTTTTTCCTTTTCACTTTAAATCAATGCCGTTTAGTAAAGAAATTCATTTTACGTTATGACAAAACGAAATTACTCTTTTATGTCATTTTTTGCATTTTTCGTTGATTTCGACTAATAACTTTTTTTACATTTTTTCGTTATTTTTAATGCATTTGTCGGTAATTTATTCGATTTTAATATAATTTTCATGGTACTTGCTTTCAACAATATGTAAGAGATACAAAAAAAAACTCACCACAGAATTTCTGAGTCCTCTTTTTGATTTCTTTGCTCGTATAGTGTTGTCAGCCGTTGTGAGTATTCGTATTATGTAATCTTAGGTTCCTGTGACGCCTATTGTCTCCATTCGGACGATTTTGATATAAATAAAGGTAGAGATTTTGTTTTAAATAACAGTCCAAACCAAACGTTAGCAAGCTGAGTTCACTGGAACAAACGGAAGGAGCCTCGATTATATCAGTAGCATACCCAACAGCTTCATTTGAAGCAACAATTCATCTCGAGTGTTTTTAATCAAATTTTGTACGTCATTTTTCTTTGTTTTAGCGCATTTTAAAAACATTTTAAGAGCATTATATTGATCTTGTTTAGGTCATCAAAATTCGCTCCCTATTCATGATGATGCTATTTCTGCGAAAAAAGAAATGGGATATTGTCGTCGATTTGAAATAACAAAGAGATTATATAGTGCTAGAAGATTGGATAGTGCTAGACCTTGTTTTCGATAGTTTTTTCTTTTCTTCAGCGGGGTTACACTTCCTGGTAATTCTAGAAATAATGTATTAAGCATTGGACACGGAGTAATAATTATCCTAGAACGTATTCAGAAGTTGTTAAACATGAAGTAATTCTTCTTGAATGTAGTCATTTTGAAATAATATAATTTACTTTTATCCTTAATGACCAGGAGATCGGTTGCGTTAGTGTCCGGGGTTCCCAGACTGTCACCCGTCCTGTGACCCTCGGTGTCTCGAGCTGCTTCAACTCCATGATTTCATGAATAGTGGTTAACCTCTCGTCTACGCTCGACGCACTGCCATGATAGACAACAGTGTTCCACGTTATTTGGATATTGCTGTGGAACTCATAGAAAATGGTAAAAAGATTTTCGGAAGGTTAGCTCTGCTCTATGATTTAATAAATTTTAAAACGTATGATTTTTCTGGTTTGATTATTTCTTTATTCATATTTATTGTTGAAAGGATATTGCTTTGGCCAATAGGAGAGTCAGAGTTAAGGTTTGTATTTTCTGCTGAATAAATGTTTCTCTACAATTAGTAAGTACACTGACAAATCAAAAAGCAAAAAATATATTTAACTATGATATACAATAGTTTACATTTGTATTGTATAATTTAATAATAAGTAGGCCTGTAACAAGTAATGTACTTCTGCTTCCGGGTCAATGACCCCCCAGTTCGATCAGGTTTTAGTCCAGTTTCCCTGATCGATTGAGCAAATGCTGAGATGGTCCCGTTGATTTGCTTCTGAACATAAATGTAGCTTCACTACGCGTACATTCGGTTATTTTCGCCATTTGGTGAAGGAGTAGTGGTAGGAGTAGAGGGTTACTATTTTGTCAGCAGTTCAAAAACATCAAATCCGCAGATCGTGTACTGTTGCATATAGGATTTCTATAACTCGTGAGTAAAAATGTACAATTTTTCAAGTATTGCTAACTTTTGCTAATTTTTATTATTATTATTATTATTATTATTATTATTATTATTATTATTCTAAGTTCTATTCATCTTCCATCTTTTTATAGTTAATATGTTGAGAAGAGATTGCGACCTGGATGTCCGAGGTGGCTAGAGTGTCTCCCGACTCAGCACCTCAGTCAGAAGGGTCTGAGGTTCGAGTCCCGTCGTCGGCGTGGTTGTTTGTCCCTTGTCTTTCATGTCGTGTGTTGTCGCGGAAGGCAGTATGTCATTGTCAAATCTCAAGGTAAATAAAAGTCCCCGTGAGGGATATAGTGGGCAACGGGCGCTTGCAGTCGAAATCGACATCCCCTGAAGCAGGAAAAAGGTCCAGGAAGGGAAAAAACGTTGAGAAGAGATTCTGGCGGCCAAGAAAACGCGCGTTGATGTTACATTTTCCCTCATACGTCACATATAGTTTTAACTACTTTTTGGGGGGACTAAATAAATGCAATGCAACGCATTGCGGTGTGTTGTGTGTGTGTTGCAGCCACCGATCTGGCCAACCACTTCAAGAACCACAAGGCGCAGGAGAAGGCGTTCAACGCGTTCGCCAAGGACGACCCTGCGCACCGCGACCTGCTCTTCGGCGCCATGGTCACGTGCGCCGACTTCGGCATGCAGACCAAGGACTTCCACAGCATCTGCCTCACAGTCGTAAGCGTCATCGCCAGAGCTACTTAATTGGGTTTTTAACATTTTTGTCTCTTTTACTTCATTCACGTCATTTAGGTCCTGTGTGATGGTCCTATGCAGGCGTGTCAAATCGCTCCCGCTACAGCTACTTGCGCGCAGAGGTGTCTCAGGGCATCAACTGATGTCACTGTGCCTCCACTAGTGCCTCTGACCGGGAGGTCCTAACGTTACGCTCCCAAAGAGGGCAGGATTTTCGACTATAGGCAGATAACGAGGTCGAGTTCAGTCGCTGTCTGGAGGAGAATTCTAGCGCCCATCAGCTCTGATCGGTAGTTTTCCGTGGTTTCCCCGATCAGCACCAGGCGAATGCTGGAGTACTATTCTAACAAACGGGCCACGGTGGCGCGGCCACGGCCAAGGCGCGGGACCTTTTCTTCCTCTTCCTTATCCTATCTTCGCCCCTTACTTACACACACTTACACTAACGTGCACTACACTACTACACATACCGGAAGTCCGACCGGGAACTTAGAGCTTGTCCTAGCTGAGGCAGGGACCCGCTGGTGCAAGATTCCTTGTTGGGAAAAACCCCGCTAGCCGACAGTACGTCACAATCCAGTGGTCTTACTACTACCTACTGACATGGATACATTCCAGGCATCTCCGAAAAGAATTGTGTCCCTCTACTTGCAGCAAATCACCAGTCGAATACTCGGTGTTTGCGCTTGAAATTGTCATCGAAATCAATTGTGGTCTCCCTGATTTCCAGCTTAACCGATAAGATTCTTATGTCAGTAAATTTAAAGGATTACACGTAATCCTTCAATCGGACAGCAAAGAAAAAACTACATAAAACGCTCAAAATCACGTTGCTGACATTTCGCGGAATCTGCGACGCTCAGTTGGACGCGTAGATAAGAGGAAGGAAAAATTTGGGGTCTGAAAAAAATTACGTCCTATTATTGGTTCGTCACCCGCCATCTACCACTTCACAACCAGTTGAATTGAATTCTGACAGAGATACCGTGCAGTCAGCTACATGCAAGTGATAGCATTCCAATATAAAATTTCACATGATTGCGGGTTTAATCCCTGACCGCGAGAATTTTCTTGCGAAATTTTTCTCAGAAAGCTAGTTTTGAAGTGATGCCCTGCACAGATTCAAGGTTGTTTTATGTAAATTGCGAAGTCAGGAGCCTCACGTAAGATATGTGGGAATGAGACAGAGCGTATCAAAAATATTTTGGTAGCTTATCGTTCTTGCGATTGTGCCATCAAAACTGCTGGGGAGCACTTCGATCGACAGAGGGCAGTGGAGGGGAGGTTGAATCATTTGAAGCGAGGAAAATGGAAAATTTATTAATTTAATTAATTAAAAAAATTAGGAAAATGGCTGTAGGCCAGGAGCCAGCAACAAAAAAACTATGTATGATAAGCTCAAAGCTACAACGTTTTGAGAAGTTAGCCAGTGCTATGTGGCACATGTACCTGTTATACATCACACTTGTTAATGTTTTACAACTTTTGAGGTTAATTTCTCGCGTTTGAGACATCCAATCGGTATGGCACATCCATCTGGTTTACAGGCTCGTCTTGTATACATTAAAATAAACGAAAAAATATTTTCTCGGGTGTGTACCTATTATACATGGCCTAGTGACCAATTGATCACCTTTGAATCAGTATAATGGCTACTTAGTAACGCTGAAACCGTAGGGCGTGGTCCTAAACGGCAATGAAAAAGAATTGTCTATCATTAGACCACTAAAAATAGCTTTGGACTCGTAATACAAGAGGGGATTAAAAAAAAGACACTATGAATTCAATTTGGCGTTTAGTTTGAGATACCACATTGGTATGGCATTTAACTTCACACTTTGGCTATCTAACGAACAATATTCAACAAGAATTAGCTGTGTACTCATTCCCCGATAGCATTTTTTTTTTACACAATCAAAAAATTGTGCAGTGCAATGCCGTCATACTTGCGTTTCCCTGTTTTTTTATAACACTGGCTAACTTCTCAAAAATGTTAGCTTTGAGCTAAATATAAGTGTTTTTTCTTGCTGGATCCCGACTCACGTCATCGCACGGAGATTTTTTCACAGATTGATTTATTCGATCAGCTCACTTATTCCGAGACAGCGCGTGTACGATATAGCCCACAGTTTAACTCAGAAATAATTTTTAAAATGACAGAAAGTGTTGACTATATTAGTGTTCTTCACTCCGTGCAATATCGGCAAATTTATTTTTATTTTTAAATTAATTCATCAGAATAATCTAAAGAGTAAAACTTAAAACAACGAGAGAAAAAAGATGAGCACAACATTTAGTCATTAATTTAAGTTTAACTGGGAAGCCAAAAACAGCTTTAATAAGAATTTGAATTATTTGATGAATTACCATTAGAAATTAAAAATTGAGGTAAAATTGAAGAATTTAAAAAGAAAGTTATAAAATATGTAAAACATAAAATTAATTTTGTCAATATTAAACACAATATATACGTATATGTGCAAACCAGTTTATATGCATTTAATGCGTGTGAAATAGCATAGGATGCTAAATAAGAGAAATCTATCTGCAATTGAAATTTCCTTAGAACGTACTGTAACGCCATTCCAGAGAGATGACGATGTGATGATGAGAAGGGTGTGACCGGCTTAGGTGGCTCAGGGCATTGATTGATATCATTGCAGTGCAACTGACGGAGACATTCTAGGGTTCGAATCGTGACGGAGGCAGGACATTAGATAGATAGGAGACATTGTCCGGAGCCGAATTCCGGCTGCCGGCTGCTCTGGTTGGTAGTTTTTTCCCGGTTTCTCCGATCAACACCAGGCGAATGCCGGAGCAGTACCTTAACAAACGGGCAACGGACCGCGCGCGATCTATCCTACCTCTTCCTCGTCCTATCCTCACCGCTTACTTAAAATCTCGTTCACTTACATGCAATATACCACCACACTTGTCGGGAGACCAGACGGACGCTTAGAACGTGTCCCGATTGGGGCGATGCCCAGCTGGTGAGAGATACCTGGTAGGGGAAAATCCGACGAGTCGACGTCAAGAACGGCGCCGGTTCTCACCACCCAGCAGGGGAGATCAACGGCCCCTCCCGCGATAAGACATGTACTACACTCACGGGACTAATGACCTTAGCCATGACGCCCCCGGAATCATGAATGAGTGAATGAGTGAGTGAGGAGGGCGGGGGGCGGGCGGTGTTGCAGAAGAGCCTGTACGCAGAGTTCTTCCGCCAGGGCGACCTGGAGGCGGCGTTCGGCGTGGAGCCCTCCGTCATGATGGACCGGCGCAACGCGCGCATCCCGCAGCAGCAGGTGGAGTTCCTCGAGAACCTCGTCATCCCGGTCTTCCAGTGAGTCCCACCCCCCTCCCTCTCCCTCGCCCTTTCTCTCACTCTCACACACTCTCAACCGCTCACTCGCTCACTCTTCCTCTTCCTCTCCGTTTCTCTCTCCCCTCCCCTCTCTCCTCTTTCACTCTCTCACACACACTCTCTCACTCGCTCACTCTCTCACTTTCACTCTCCCACTCTCTCTCCTCTCTCCCCTCCTACTCTCTCACACACACACTCTCTCACTCTTTCTCACTCTCACTCTCTCTCACTCGCTCATTCTCTAACTCTCGCTTCTCTCCCTCTTCGTCCTTTCTTTTCATCCTTTCCCTTCCTTTCTCTCTTCTCCGCTCATTCCCGCCCTGCTTTTCTTTTCTCGCTTCCTTTCTTCCTTCTCCACTCTGACCCGCCCTGCTTTCCTTTTCTCGCTTCCTCTTCGTCCTTTCTTTTGATCCTTTCGCTTCCTTTCTTCCTTCTCCACTCTGACCAGCCCTGCTTTCCTTTTCTCGCTTCCTCTTCGTCCTTTCTTTTCATCCTTTCCCTTCCTTTCTTCCTTCCTCTCCGCTCTTTCCCGCCCTGCTTTCCTTTTCTCGCTTGCTCCGCGTCCTTTCTCTTGGCCCGGTCGCCACCTGGCTCGCGGCGGCGCGTGCGCGCAGGCTGCTGCGGCCGCTGTTCCCGGCGCCGGCGGGCCGCCTGCTGGAGGCCCTGCGCGAGGTGCAACGCTTCTGGCGCCACGCCGCGCCCGTCTTCGCGCGCCGCCTCGCGGCCGGCCAGGAAGCGCTGCGCATCCTCGACGACGGCGGCTTCGAGGCCGAGGTGCTCGACCTGGTCGCGCGCCAGACCGACGTGAGTGCGACGCCCGGCAGTGTCGAGTGGATTAACGAGATAATTAAAGAGTGGAAAGAAGAAAGTATTTAATCAGTGAGTGATTAAACGAAAGAATTAAAAAAACGGCATAAAACAAAACATTGAATAGATAAATGAAATAGTTAAAAAATGGAAAAAAACTGATTGAATGCATGAATGAATGAATAAATGGAAAAATTTTACGAAAGGAAAAAAGAAATTGAATTTATGAGTGAATATTAAAAAAATAAATGAATCAATGAGAGTAAGTGATGTAAGAAGGAATGAAGTATGATGAGTGTGTGTGTGTATATATATATATATATATATATATATATATATATATATGGTTAAATGAATAAGTATGTGATGAATAGAGACAGGATTTTTATGTAATTACATCTTTTTTGTCTTTCTACCTACAGATCTTTAATTGGTAAATCTTGGCGAAACGTCGCCGTCCTAACACAATATCCTATTTTTACGTATTTAGTACTTTCGTATTACATATTTTGGTTATTTCACCAAATATTTTTTATTCTTTGCGTTTTCTTTCATTTTATTACATATTTTGTATGAAAAAAATCAGTTTTCATTCATTATTACTGCGAGCTGTCTACTCCAGGTACCATATATGAAGACGCGTGATATTCTCACAGTCCAGCGCGCCTGTTTATTTCAACGACGGGAAGTGCGCGTTTGCAATTGAGATTGTTTTCACCTTTTGACGAGAAAATTGTCACTGACGCCCCGGATCGTGACCTTTAACCCAAATTTTGGAAAATCATTTTCGATCGTCGACGTTTAAGATGTATTGAGAGTCATTCACGCTGTAGTGATTGTTTACTGGTCGTAGATATAGCCAGTTTGCACGATGAATGATGTTAACATTGCTTCTATTCAGGCTGCAAAACTACGGACCTGAATAGTAATAGATGAAGCTTTGACTACTGACAGAAAAGTTATGTGGTGCAAAGTGTGCATCAACTTGTGCTCTCCAAATTATTTTTAAGACGATTATATTATTTATATAATTTGTTTAGTGAACTTTTCATAAATGTATTTTTGTATCATGTAATTATATTTTATAATAAGTGAATTTTAATATTATGTATTAAATTCGATTTTAAATATTTATTACATATTGTTACTGACTTTATTACAAATTTATATACATATTTGGACGTTTCAAACTACAGTTTTTTTCCGACTCTAGTGATGAATAAATGAATTAATCATTGAATGAAAGTAAAAGGATAGAAAGAAAGTAATTACTGAAAAAATTAAATAGTGAATTATCTAAGACGGAATGAATGAAGAAATGATGAACTAATAAATTATAGTAATTGGATGAATGAAAGTATATGTGACTGAATGTGTTGATGAGTTTTTTCAATTCTATAATTTATTTCTTTTCATTAAGAGACAAAACCTGTGTAATTTGATTCGATAATCAAATTATTCGAATAATCGAAACCCCGCATAACAGTGTTTATTTCTTTTCCCATCAAACTGATTGGTTCAAAAGTCTCGGCCCCTCCCCCTCCCCGTTCAAAAGTCCCCCCGTGGTACGAAAATCTAAGACCTGGCCACAATTGCAAATATGAGTTGATTTATATTGAATCATGTATCTAGAAATTTTTGAGGACGTTGATTTCGAGTATCGTAATAATATTTCAAAACTTTAAGTGGCGGCTTCAAAATGGCCGATCGACTTAAAAAACTGACATGCATAAAAACATGGACGAAAATATTTTCGAAATTAATACAGTAAAATATATTACGCTGCATTGTAGTAAAACGGCTATAAAACAAAAATGTTGAGATATGTGCGTTGTTCTGATTAAGGATGTTTCTCCTGGATAAATAATCTCATTAGTTGAAGTAGATATATGTGAAACAAAAAAAATCACAATAGTCACAATTTTCAAAATTTATATTGTAACGCTGCATAGTTTAGAATTAAAACGTATGAAATATACCTTTTATATGCCTAAGGCGTTAAGTAGATGTTTTTGGCGTTAAGTAGAACCCTAGTAACGCCCGTGAAAACTAAACAAAAGCCAACATAACTTGATGGTTTATAAGTTCGTTGCTAAATCAAGCGAGAATTTGAAACATTTTATAACTTTTATTGCGTCTAAAGTAAAAAATGCACTGTAATAAATGTGTTCTGAAAAAAAACAGTTGATTACTCAAAATTCTGTACGCGCCCTTTCAATTTTGTCATTTTGTTCAGGTTTTGAACTGTTAAAACTGACAAATCCTGCAGTGAGAAATAAAACACTCTTTATTTTGCGCAGGCGACTGAAAAGTCAAGTAAACATATAAATTGTCAGCTATCCGGAAGACGCCACGTCGTTGGCTGGGGTGCCGACGTTTCGCCTGACAAGTCGCAGGCTTCCTCAGGGCAGTGAGTCAATGCCCTGAGGAAGCCTGCGACATGTCAGGCAAAACGTCCGCCTCCTAGCCAACGACGCGGCGTCTCCCGGATAGCCGAGAATGTATGGATTCGAGCCACGGAAGCTTACGTGTACAAGTAAACGTATGTTTTATTTCAGGCTGGAGGAGAATCGCCCTAATGTTCGGGCAAAGATTGAAAGCGAAGTTGATGATATTATTGTATCATGAAGTATACCCTTATCAGTACAAGGATGTGCAACGAATGGTTTAACTTTCATTTCCGTTGTTATCACTACTGCAATAATGGAGAATTAATAAAGAAGTTTGTCTGTTACTCGGTGCGTAAGCGAAATACATTGATTTTAAAAACTCAATTTTGTTTTTGAGATTACAATTATTACTTAAGTAAATTCTCATACTATATGTTTCTTAATATCTCAAGATTTATGTATGTTTTTTTGTGAAAATGAAAATACTTTTGTTGTATTTATTGTATGCAGTATACTTAACAAAACTAGTAAAAATAATAGATATAAGTTTCTATTCCTCTTGCATGTCTTTTTATTTACCTCATATTTTCTTCCGTTTATGAGTTCCGGTGTGTGAAGTTTTTAAATAAATATCTGTTTGTTAAACGCAAATGGGTGTTATTGCATGACACAAATATCCATCGAATTGGAATTACAACTTTGACTATTCAAACTAATCGGCTAAACCGATTTCAACAGCAGTTTTCAATTTAAAGTAGGTTATTTTATTTGGTGTAATTTAGGTAACTTTAAAGCCTAGAGCGCACTGGTTCGGTACGGCACGGAAGGACAGGACTGACGGGATTTTTTAGAAGTTGATTACATTGGCTTCCTTAAGGGGGTGCGCACTAAGCCGGCACGGACGGTTTTGAGAAGTTGATTACATTGATTTCCGTAAGATTGAGCACACTAGACCGGCACGGATGGGACGGGACAACCCACACCTTCCGCCGATTGCAAAAAGTCCGAAGGTAAGATCTTCAGGACATTCCTACGGGCCGATGACGTCATCGGCATGGTTGGAGGTTATGTGAAGCGTGTGCAGCGATCATGAATTGCGTCCAATTTAATTATGTTGAACCAGAATTGTCCCAAGTTGCACAGAATGATATTAAGTTTTATTTAATTGCTAGGAAGAGTAATTAAATTGGTTAGCTAAACCACCTGAATCAGGGAGTACGATTTGCCAAATTTAAATTTCTTGTTATTTATAAGAAGCTGTGCATTATTGCTGAATCTGGTTCATTTGCGCACGGTAAATAAATTAAGGTGATGTTTAGGAATTATTAAATAGTTCATTAATGAATATAATTTTTTGTATGTATTTTGCATAAATTATAGTGACGATTATTTTCGTATGCTTCTAAATTAAGTAATGCAAATGTGAGTCCCTACTTCACTTTAATGGTGTTACCAACGTATTTATTTATATCTTATATTTTTTTAAATATCCAATTTAGCTTTAAATTTATCGTGAAACATTCTAAAGAACTGAAATACTTTTTTATCTTCCACCAGGTCGGTATGTAATATGTGAAATTCCCCTTTTGTCGTTCTCAATCTCAATTGACTGAATTAGACACCTTGCCTAATTTCCTTCTGCAATGAACCCAATGCGATTGCTTCTTTACTTAAATGATGAAGCCGACGCGCACAATACAAGACACGGCGCGAAGTCGTTCAACTAGTTATAGTTAAAATGACGGGAAGGGATTCTGAAACTCAAGAAAACGTGCGCAAATAATCTTTTCCCCTCTACATCACATACAGTTTTACGTTGTTTTTTTTTTTTTGTTTTTTTGTTGTTGTTTTTTTTACTGAATAAATCTTTAATCTGAAGTTTCTGAGTGTCGGAAGTGTTCGTGCCGTCCTGCCCTAGTGAGCGCAACCCACTCAAAATCCGTGCTGTCCGTCCGGTCCCGCCCGTCCTTGCCGTACCCATCCACTGCGCGCGTAGCTTTAGATGAATATTTCTATCACCTCGCCGTTTTCCCTGCTTTGATGGTAAAATCATTTCCATTTTGCGATATAGGTAGAATACATTTCTTCTCCAGTCAAATAAATGATAAATACATGATGGATCAAGTTACTTACGTTGTGCTAATTAATATTTTAAGATCGATATCGGTTTAAATCTGTAGTGAATTTAGTTAACTGAACTAACATTCATTTGTAGATTACCTGAATCATTGATTCTGAACTTCGTACAATGTAAGTACAAACTGTGTGATTTAGTTGAAGTGATCTCACGATGTCAGTGATTCTGAACCAACGAAACCAGTCCAGAAAATAACTAATGGTGCTACAATAGCACACATTTTCTCTCGTTATTTCTCAGTGTGCAATCTTCAAAAATTCAGAGAGTTCGTCGAAAATGAGATCTGCTCCATTGTTTTAAGAATCCCTTCGTGTATTTGTGTAACGTGTATAAATAAAAGAATGTGCGTTTCTCACACTACTAGATTGCCAACTAGACCAATATCGTTGAAATTTTCACACTGTGTTCTTATTAAAATAAGAAGTGTTTAAAGAGTGAATTCGGACACGTGGGAGCGTTGTTGATGCTGGTTCAAAGCCTTTATGATGACTCAAGCGCCCCTGAACAAAAGCTCTACGCAACCCGCCGCACCGTCAAGTATTAAGCGCGTCCGTCGCTTCATACTCTGCCCCTGCGATTGTGAAATATCGCCCAGAATTATTTTGAACATTATCTCGGGAAAGTAAATCCAATTTCTCTGAGATAGTGGTGCCCAAACTTGAGGGAGAACGTTTTAACAAAAGGACACATGTGATACAACCATGTTATGTCAACAGATTTTTTTGAGTTAATTTAAAGACATAAATACAATAATGTTTAAAAATGGTTGGAAATTTACATATTAGCGGCTTCAAAAAATTACATTTGTGTAATTTTCGGAAAAAGAAACTAAATGAACTTTATGTCATATTAAAGAGTGCAATTAGCACTATCCTTTCGAAAAAATTGAAGAAAAAAATTGGAGCCGTTTTTGAGAAAATGACATTTGAGAGTTTCTGAAAATGCGAAAGTTTGAACTACTTTTGACTGAAAACAGTTGTTTTCGAGAAGCTTTATTTGGCATTATTTAAAGCACATGTTCTCATAAATATAATAATGTGAACAAATCGCCGCTAATGTAAATACTAACGACGTGAAAGACAAGTCAAAAAATACGTTTTTGTAATTTTTGGAAAAAAAACAAACGAATTGAGCAATTTGCCGTTTATGCCATCTTATAGAGTGCATTAATTAATTAATTAATTAATTAATAGCTATCGCTATTAAAAGCTTAAAGAAAAGGAATTGGAACTGTTTTTGAGAAAATCTTGTTTTTGTAATTTTCTAAAATTGCTCATATTCCTCGCAATATTGCGCGAAACTGCTAAAATGTTCAAAAGAAATGTACATGATCTTACTGAAAGAACTGATTATGAGCAACAAATTTCATTGCAATGAAATATCTCCGTATTTAATTTTGTTGTAAGAAGACACCGAAAATTATTGAAACTTTCGAAATTTTCAGAGTTAACCATGAAAATTGGTCCCATGCCACCTTTATAAGACTGTTTGACTATATTCTCAGAAGAAATTTAAAGAAAAAATTTGGAGCCATTTTTGAGAAAATTTTGAAAATGTCCCAAGGGCTTCAAAACGTGTATTTCCGTTGAAATCTCGAAATCGATTTTCCGCAGCATTACATAACTTCCTGTACTACGTATATTACTCCGTATACGTACGTATACGGGAACGTAAAAAAGGCGTATTGTTAAACTTCCGGGCACTTCTAATAAGCGTTAATCTCATTAGTGCGGTGGATATTTTTACCCCGCGGTGTTGTGGTATTTTCCTCCGCTAAATTAAGAGATCTATCGTTTTAGACGCTGTCTGGAAGAGAATTCTAGCGACCTACTGCTCTGATCGGTAGTTTTCCGTGGTTTCTCTGATCAACACCAGGCGAATACCGTAACAGTACTCTCACAAACGCGCCGCGGACCACGCGCGATCATTCCTTCCTCTTCCTTGTTCAATTCTCACACCTTACACACTAACATGCACTCCACTACCTCACATGCCGGGAGAACGGTCGGGAGCTGAGAGCTTGTCCCGGCTGGAGTGGTGCCCCCTGGTGGGAGATACCCGGATAGGGAAAACCCCGCTAGCCGACGGTAGGTCGGCACCGGATCTCCCCCATCCAACGGGGGAAGACCATCGCTACCTCACGAGCAAAAACATGTACTACACTGACGGGACTAATGCCAACCTCCATAGTTGACGCGCCAGGAATCACTAACAATCAGCGCTGTCCAACACGTACGCCGGCGGAGGTTTCCTCCCCCCCCCCCCGATCTAAGTCCCAACTACTCTTCCAACACGTGTTGTAGTCTAGTGCATGTGTAAATCTGTGAGAGTAAAAGCAGAGAACAGGACAAAGAAGAGGTAGGAAAGATGGCGTGAGGTCCGTGTCCCGTTTGTTAGAGTACTGCGCCGACATTCACCTGCTTCTGATAGGAGAAATCATGATAAACTATCGATTGGAGAAGCCGGCTGCTGGAATTCTCCTCCAGTCAGCAGTTGAGTTTGAGTTCGACTCAGCTATCTAGCTAATGTCGAAAATCCGACACTGCCGGACCGGAAGAGGGGACTCAGAGCATCAACTGATGTCACTATGTGCCTCTGGCCTAGGTTCGACTTCCGACAGTAGCAAGATTTTCGACACTAGCTTGTCAACTAGGTCGAAACATGTCGCAGCCTGGAGGAGAATTCTAGAGGCCGGCTGCTCTGATCGGTAGTTTTTCATGATTTCTCCGATCCAAAGCAGGTGAATGCCGGAGCAGTACCCTAACAAACGGACAACGGACCGCTCGCGATCTTTCCTTCCTCCTTCTCGTTAGACTATCCTCACTCCTTTCACACACTTTCACTTACATGCACTACACTACCACACATGCCGGGAGACCAGTCGGGAGCTTAGAGCTTGTCCCTGCTAGGGCGGTGCTCCGCTGGTGGGAGATACCTGATTCAGGGGAAACCCCGCTTGCTGACGTAGGTCAGCACCGGATTTTGCCATCCAGCGGGGAAGATCACCGCCACTTCCCGCGATAAAAAACATGTACTACACTTACGGGACTAATGACCTCAGTAGTTGGCGCGAATCACAACGAACCAACCAACTTGACGTCGTCGGAACTTGAACCCTAGGACCATAAATGTGTTCAACCTAAAGCAAGAGGGGGATGACAGCATTTCTGGCCTCTGTATCCATGGAACTTTTTAATTAGGTATGAGGTGTTTTGCACAACATTTTTTGTATATTTTTGGAAATGCATTGCTTTTAGGGGCGGTTGTAGGAGGGATCG